CCCTTACAGAGACCACACTTTTAAGAACTGCTCTATGCAAATGTTTCAAAGAAATTTTACATTATGTAGATGAATGATTGCTGTCACTAGTGATTGTGACATGAGCAGAAGTATCACCTTAAAAATGCAACAACAAGCACAGTAGCTTGTATTTTCAGTAGCTGTATATTTCCAGGCACAGAGAACACAAACAGATGTCTATTTTTAATTATTTTCTTGTTTTTTTGAGACGACCTCACTGTCACCCAGGCTGGAGTGCAGTGACGCAATCACAGCTCACTGGCAGTCTCTACCTCCTGAGCTCAAGAGCTCCTCTACCTCAGCCTCCCGAGTAGCTGGGGCCACAGGTGTGTGCTACCACCCTGGCTAAAAAAACAACAAAAAAGGTTTTGTAGAGATGGGATCTATTTGTGTTGCTCAGACTGGTTTCAAACTCCTGAGCTTAAGCAATCCTCCCACCTTGGCCTGCTGAAGTGTTGGAATTACAGGCATCAGCCACTACACCTGGCCTGTAATATTTTTCTATGCTTGGAAAGTTTTTTATTAATCAGCTAGGATACTTCTCTACAAAAATAAGCATATATAACTTGAGATTTAAAATTTTCTCAGCCAAATGTGGTGGTTCACATCTGTAATCTCAGCACTTTGGGAGGACTAAGTGGGTAGATTGCTCGAGATTAGGGGTTTGAGACCAGCCTGGGCAACAGGGCAACCCCATTTCTACAAAACCGCACCCAGTCATTTTGTATTCTTTTTATTCCATTTTTTTTTTTTTTTTGAGATGGAGGAGTGCAATGGCACGATCTCGGCTCACTGCAATCTCTGCTTCCTGGGTTCAGGCAATTCTCCTGCCTCAGCCTCCTGAGTAGCTGGGATTACAGGCACGCACCACCATGTCCAGCTAATTTTTTGTATTTTTAGTAGAGACGTGGTTTCACCAGTTTGACCAGGATGGTCAAACCAGATCTCTTGACCTCGTGATCCACCCGCCTCGGCCTCCCAAAGTGCTGGGATTACAGGCATGAACCACTGTGCCCGGCCGGTTTTTTTTTTTTTTTTTTAAATAGTTTCAGACAGTGGTTCAGACCAGCTGCTAGAGAATCAAGGACTAAGAAGAGAAGGCTACCAATTTAATAGATTTGGGCATGGACAAGCCACAGGCAGTTTCTCTTCTCACTCTCTTGGCCAGTTATCTCTTGCTCACGTCCCCTGCCAGTAGCTAGCAGCATGTTACAGCCTCTATATTTCCATTCCCTTTTCTCTCTCTTCCAGAACTAAGATGAGTTTTCAGTGGTTAACTGTACAGAAACATACCCACTACTGAGTTTATAATAAATAGGTAAATGGTGTTTAAAATGCCTTATGTAGAAATCTTTGGTAGATAGTTGTATGTGGTTATTTTTGGGAAGTTGGCTTGAGGTCCTTTGAAGGGCTGGGAACATGTATTTCTTTCTTATGCATGTTGAGTGTGTGCATGCCTGCATGTGTACTCTACACATTCAGAGAAACATGTCCAATAATGAACTATAGAATGATCCCTTTATTTCCAGTTTAAAATAATGGAGCATAGGATCCCACTGTTTGAAAATTTTAGCCATCCATCACCATATAAGAAAAGGATGAGATTTCAGTAACAAGGGATTTGTTTATCTGACTTCCACCCTACAGATAATATATACTTTGGCCAAATATATACATTTGGCCAAAGTGTTGTTTGGGGGGAGATGGGCTGTTGTTAGGTACTGAGCTATAATACTGTGTTGCTTTCTGTCACTTCAGAAAATGACTTTTAAAGATACTTGACATTTGAAAAGGAATGACCTTTTAAGTCCCTAATTTGACATTGCCTTTATAGCATATACTTTATTCCATAAAGTTTTAGATCCTGAAACTAGCAGAAAGCCAAATACCGATGTTGTGCTATAAATATAGGATTGACAGTTAAGCTTACTCAGTAGTCAAGGTGATAGCTTTCACTCACCAGCCTCCAGGGCATGTGAACGAAATTTATGATTTAGAACATTTAAAACATGTGTTGAAGATCTTTGGGCTCTCAAGTATAGTCTGGTTATGATACATATTAAATGTATCAAAGGTCTCTTGCAGTGACGGGAAGAGCATTTTAAACCACATACTTCTTTCCCACTTCCAGATTCTTCTGTGCCCTCTCCCACTCTTTCCAGATTAGAAATCAACATGGAGCACTGTTAGTAATGGAACTGTGTGTCAGATCTTTCAGGTGTCTTGGGACAGAAGAAAGGTTGATATTTCAGGTTCTTTTTTTTTTTTTGAGGTGGAGTTCCATTCTTGTTGCCCAGGCTGGAATGCAATGGCATGATCTCAGCTCACTGCAATCTCTGCCTCCCTGTTTCAAGCAATTTTCCTCAACTTCCCAAGTAGCTGGGATTATAGGCACCTGCCACCATGCCTGGTTAATTTCTGTGTTTTTAGTAGAAACAGGGTTTCATCATGTTGGCTAGGCAGGTCTCGAACTCCTGACCTAAGGTGATCTGCCCATCTTGGCCTCCCAAAGTGTTGGGGTTACAGGTGTGAGCCACCATGCCCAGCAGGTTTGTATTTTTAATGTTTCCTTCTACTTTCCAAGCACACACAAATTTGAAAGCTGCTTTGCGTTCTATAAAGAGGCTTTTCCATTGATTTGGAAGATAATTTGATGTCTCTTTTCTCTTTGCAGGTATATAAGCTCCCTGAAATCACAAAGTAGTTATTTCCATGTTCAGATCATTCAGAGATTATGAAGGCACACACCCTGCCTTCAATTTGCTTATAGTGAAATGGAACAGACACAAGTCAACGATTGCAGTATAGCCACTTAAGTAATCTAAAAGAGGTGAGTGTGACTCTTAACCTCTGCTGGTAGGGGGAGGAATAACGCAGTGTTTTTCAAGAGGTGATTTTGGAGCTATACAGGCATTAGGTAGACAAGGAAGGGGAGGTCCATTCTGGGTGCCTAGGACTCTGACCGGTTTATAAATTGTAAATGGTACAAAAAACAGTGTTGAGTATCTTACACCTTTCTCCAGAGTACTGTTCTTACTTTTGGATAGTGCTTCTTGTTTTTTCCTTCTCTTTCCCTGTCCCTATCACCTTTAAATTAAATGAATGTTTGGAAGGAAGTAGAAGGGTAAGAATCTTTCCAGGTGGCAGAATAATAGATCGGTTTACCAAGAGTAATGTGTATACCCAGTAAAGCTATCTCTAAAATGTGCTTCTGCATTATTATAGTGCATAGTTGTGAAATCTCAGTTTTGTTGGTTGTGTACTTTCCCAGTGAATGGATTATATTCCTTCCTCCAATCACGTCTGTTTGAATTTAAGAGCATGTCTTAAATTCCTCTCAAGCAAGAGACCTAACATTTAGACTTTGAAATGAGAATAGGAGAGACAGTAAGATTAGAATCCAAGTTCATACTACCAAAACATTTTTATTGGCTATGTCTGAGTAACTACATGTCGTTTGGATCAGCTGCAAGCTAATTTGTAACATTTCAAATAAATAATAGTTTAATTCCTCCAGGATTTGGGTAAGGTGAAAATAGAACTGAAAAGCATGATTCTGTCACAGTCTGGGAAAATGAAGAAAAAGCACTCAGTTAGTGAGTTGGGCTTAATTTTTTTTTTTCTGGAACTGGTGATAGCAGAAAACAAGCAATGAAGTAGTCAGACATGATCTACTTGACAAGAACAGCAGCTGTTCAGTAGCGACTCTAAAATAATTACTGAGGGGCGGTTCTTGGGCCCAGGTGTTAGTCATACTCCTTCCAGAGAACTTCCTGATGACAGAAAAGATGCTGGCCAGCTGAGGTCTTCTTTCCAAATAACAAAGTCTTTTCTTGTATTTAGATTAATTAACCACTGTTTACAGTGAAACAAGCATAAGTACAGAGTTAATCTCTTAGAGCTTGAAGTTACAAATGATCTTTACTTGAATATCTTGACATGTTAAGGGACAGTGTTTTAAAAGCTGGACTTGGCTATGTTCTTCTGGAGACTAAGAGAATAGAGTCCTTGAAGTCAAGCTGACTCTGCTGTTAGCCTCCTAAATGAAAAGGTAGATAGAACAGGTCTTGTTTGCAAAATAAATTCAAGACCTACTTATCTACCAACAGCAATTATATGCTTTCCATTGTCTTTCTATAGAAAATAGGAATAGTAAATTTATAGATGAGAAAACTAGAGAAAGACATAGTGAACATGTGAGAATCTTGCTCTACGAATTGATAGGAAGTTGATTAGAAATGGGAGGAGAAGTTTTGGTAAGTTGAGGAGAGGACTTTTCTTATAGTGCAGTCTGGTAGCTGAACCTCCTTGCCTCAATATAGTCTTATTTACAGAATGCCACATCCCAGTGAATTGTGCTGTGGACAGCTTCCAGTGTGTAAGTTGTGGAAGATGATGATTTTAACAGATTTTGGAGGATGAGAAGTATTAAGAAAAAGGCCCCACTGCCCATGCATTTGCTCTGCCTTTTACTTTTGACCAAGTATACACTTCAAAAATATCTTAATAGATGTATACAAGTGATTGTTTGTCACTTGAATCAGCAGGAAGTCAATTATTAAACACACTTTTCTAAATAAGTGTCAGTTTAATTTTACCAGAAACCAGTGTCATTTTAGATTGCAAGTCTCAAACCAACTTTCCAACTGTCTTATAAGGGTGCCTTAAATTCTGAATATTAAACCCATGTTAGTTTACACCAGGATACCGTGCTGGTTTTACATATTCTTTTTCCCCTTTGTTAAGGTGGGGAGGCCACAGCTTATGTGAATGACTTTCTCAGGAGTTATAAAGTGATATGAATAAAGCTAAGAAAAAAGATTTTGATTATCTTTTAATTGTCCAGTATTAGGGATTGTGGCTAGTGGTCTAAGTTTTAAAAAAATCTTTTTTTTGCTTTGTTTTTTAACAGATTTATCAGCAGGTGAACATGGCCTTGAGGTAAATCATGCCCCTTGTTGAAATACAGTTTCAGTAGATTGTTAATAATATTTTAAGGAATTGGAATTTTTTTTTTTTTTACAAAAATACAAAAGTTTTGTTTGGTTCTGTTCTAGATTTTTTCTTCTAAATAAATGAGAAAGATGTTTCAACAAAGGTTCTTTTTGCTGAATAATTATGATACTTGAGGTTGCTAATCTGCTTTGTTTAAGTGGATTTTAAATGCCAGACAATTCTAGACAGCTTTTTTCCTGGTCAAATAAAAATTTAAAAATTTATAGGTGTTGAGTTTTTAATCCATTTATCCATGTCCATATTAACATGTGAAGTATTCCATAAAGCCTGTTAGAACCCTGAATTCAAACTTGCCTTCTCTGTGATATTCTGTTGCTTACTTGGTGATTTCTATTTCAGTAGCTGAGAACATTTTTGAATATACGTATATGTATCTTTTAATTGTTTATAACTGGAACCATTTCTGTGCTTACATCTATTGTCCCTTATTTTAGAGTAGACAGTCCAGCTTGGCAGGACAGGTGTGTGTGTGTAAAACGAGCTATTAAATTGTCATTGTGAGTTGATAATTCAGGAATCTGAGCTGCCATTTATGCTAGTAGGCAGAGTTAAGTAGAAGTTGAGAGTCTTTCAGTTTGTCAGACTTCGCATGTGCTGGAAAACATCAGAGGCTTTTTTTTTGAGACAGAGTTTCGCCCGTGTTACCCAGGCTGGAGTGCAAATGGCATGATCTTGGCTCACTGCAGCCTCTGCCTCCCGGGTTCAAACAATTCTTCTGCCTCAGCCTTCCGAGTAGCTGGGATTTACAGGTACCTGCTACCATGCCCAGCTAATTTTTTGTATTTGTAGTAGAGACGGGGTTTCGCCAGAAAACATCAGAGTTTTAAAGCAAAAGGCTTTTTTTTTTAAACACACAACCTTAATGATGAGATTGGGGCATATCTGGGTTTAGAGGCATTTGTGGGGCAAGATGCTGAATTGTATTTGCTTCACAAATGGAATGATTTTGCAGTTTCACTCACAAGCTTTGAAAATGCTGTGTGGGCCGGGCGCGGTGGCTCACGCCTATAATCCCAGCACTTTGGGAGGCCTAGGCAGGTGGATCACGAGGTCGAGATTGAGACCATCCTGGTCAACATGGTGAAACCCCATCTCTACTAAAAATACAAAAATTAGCTGGGCATGGTGGCACGTGCCTATAGTCTCAGCTACTCGGGAGGCTGAGGCAGGAGAATTGCTTGAACCCAGGAGGTGGAGATTGCAGTGAGCCGAGATCGCGCCATTGCACTCCAGCCTGGGTAACAAGAGCGAAACTCTGTCTCAAAAAAAAAAAGAAAAAGAAAAAGAAAATGCTGTGTGTGCAGAGCTTAGAACGGGAGAACCAGGAATGGAGCTGATGAAGTTCACCACTGAGATCACACAATGGCCTGGGCAGTGAGACAGGATGCCTGAAAGCTGCCTAGAGATCACTTCCTTCCCATCCTCAGCTTTGCCCTCTGGTGGGCTGTTGATTTCTTTAAAAAAAATTGTTGTGCACTTGCTAATATGCCACAGATGCCCCTCTGTTCTTTCACACTGCCTCCATTCTAGGTTTCTCCCCATTTGTTGGCCATAAGTCCTTTGCTGTAGTTTTGAAAGAACCCTGCCATCCTTCAGATGAACAGCAGTGAGAAGCCAAAGAGCAGTGGCTAAAGAAGATACTCATTTATTCAACAAATACTTGGTGACAGCTGTTATGTGTTAGCCCTTGGGGATCTAGTGATGAACAAAACAGACACTTTCCCTGTCTTCATGGAATTAGGTATTATAGAGGTAATTTCAAAATTAGAGAGTGGTACATACTGTATAGGAGTGGAACAGGGTGTTATAAAGAGTACACAGTGGGAGGGACCTCACCACAGTGCTGCTCACTGTTGGGAAAACGGGAGTAGAAGATGTTGAAAAGGTCACACAGTTTCCCTGGTTCTCTGCAGACAGCCTTTCACCTTCTAAAGTATATACTTGGCTGAGTCATGAAATGCATGAGTGTACTGGGGCTGCTAGAGCCATTTAAACTTAAACTTCCCCCCCTCCTCTCCCAAGTTCTCTAGGTCTCAGAAACTCAAGATATTTTGCATATATACAGATACAGTTTGACAACTTGAAAGACTTTTGAGTTCATTTAGTTTGAGCCTTTATTTTAGAGCTGGGCCTGGTAATGACCATCTGAGTATCACTCGGGTAGCAGCACACAGGGCTAGAATCTAGGTTGGGTGAAATGAGCACCAGCACACCATTCTGTCAGATAATAACATGAGCCATAAATTACGCTGGGCACATGGTGCTTGAATGCCAACTTCAGCCAGCCAAGGCATGAATGGCTGTGAGAGGGGTAGGCTTGGAAGATAGGAAACTGGACATCAGAATGTTCTAATAGAAAGTGACATGTTTTGGCATCGAAATGCCATTACGTATCTTTAGACACCCAGGCTTTTCCAAAGAAAAACAGGGATGCACAAATTTGTGAGGCTGACAACTAAATGTGTATAGATGCTGAGAAAGTTCCACGTTGAAAAACGACAACTTTGAATTTTCATAGTCTAATAGAATGCCAATCTTCTTTGGAGGAACTGTTATTCTTATATCTGGAGTTGTTCTGTTGTGTAGAAATTCATACTTATGCCTGAAAATTAAATTTAACATAATTAAGTTTCAGAAATTCTAGAGATTTTAATATGGAACATTTCATATTAATTTTATGTATTGTCCTATGACTTTGTTATTTTCTAGTATTAAATGACTACCAAAGTAACAGGCCATTTCCAAAACTATATTATCTAAACTATCTCTTTTCTAAAATTTGTCCTAAGAAAGATTTTCTTTTCTTTTTTCTTTTTTTTTTTTTGAGATGGAATCTTGCTGTGTCACCCAGGCTGGAGTGCGGTAGTGCGATCTCAGCTCACTGCAACCACTGCCTCCCAGGTTCAGGCAATTCTCCTGCCTCAGCCACCTGAGTAGCTGGGACTGCAGGCACACACCGCCATGCCTGGCTGATTTTTTGTATTGTTAGTAAAGACAGGGTTTCATTGTGTTACTCAGGCTGGTTTTTAACTCCTGAGCTCAGGCGATCTGCCCTCCTCGGCCTCCCAAAGTGCTGTGATTACAGGCATAGCCACCGTGCCCAGCTAAACATTTTCAAACATCATTTTTTCTCGAGCAACCTCTTAACCTAAGAAACTTAACCCACGGCATCATGAACTCTCTTGTATCTAAACTAGAGTAGAAATAGAACATGTTTTTAAGATTTGGATTAGACATTTGAAAAAGAACCTTGTGATTTTCCATGTGATAAAATGGGCCTCTTGGTATAAGCTCTTCTATGCATAATTACTCCAGTTCTTCAACTTTCAAATTGAGTGAGGGGCCAGTGAGCTTGTCACCAATCAGTATTCTTTCACTTCCATGCTCTGCATGCTGTGTGCTTTGAAAAATGGCAGAAACCAAAACCTGGCACAGGAATTTCCTAACCCTGCTAACTACAGATATTTGAAGAGCTCTGTGTGTCAACATGTAAGTCTAGGCTACTGTGATGAACACTTGGAATACGATCTAAATGTGTCAGAGCAAGCCAGCCTGTCTTTAGCCCATTTCACCTTATCTTAACTAAGCAGCTGCCAGAAGGTATATTGAGTCCTTTCTTCTACTTTCTCTCCCACCACCAATAGAGTCTAATACTATGAGCCAAAAAATAGGAGTCTGCTAGGGGACCTTATCCTAGGATACTTTACCTTTATTCTCTGCTTGTAACACGTGTGTGCACACACACACACCTACATCTGCAAGAAACTGGCTTGGCTCTAGCACTTGGCCTGTACCTTTTGCCCTTCCTTTGTCATTCTTCTGTTTCCACCCCTCTTCTATTCTGTCTTCTTACCCCCCTTACTTATCCCCCTACACATAGACTTCTCGGCAAGGCTTTCTTTTTTTTTTTGAGAGAGAGTTTCACACTTACTGCCCAGCTGGAGTGCAATGGTACAATCTTGGCTCACCGCAACCTCCGCCTCCTGGGTTCAAGCAATTCTCCTGCCTCAGCCTCCTGAGTAGCTTGGATTACACGCACCTGCCACCACGCCTGGCTAATTCTGTATTTTTAGTAGAGACAGGGTTTCTCCATGTTGCTCAGGCTGGTCTCAAACTCTTGACCTCAGGTGATCTGCCTGCCTCGGCCTCCCAAAGTGCTGGAATTACAGGCGTGAGCCACTGCGCCTGGCCTAGGCTTTCTTTATGCTCCTTCAGTTTTACTCTGTCCCATTTTCTTGCCTTTCTAAGAAGAGACTTCGATTTTTAGTCTTAGTTCAGGTAGAATCCGCATATAAAGTATCTCCCTCAGTGTATAGTAATTCTTGCATTCCCCAAACTGGGTGTGAGGTTTAGTAGAGTTCATTAGAGTCCACATCTATTATTGGAGGAAGTTGGGCATGACACAATGTGTAAATAACCATGGTAGAGGGTCATGGACAGAGAATACTGGATGAACATTAATAGGATTCATCAAACCAAGGAGGGTCAGAGGCCCCACTTTATAAGGGGTGATGGAAAAGCATTGTGGGCTCTTGTTGTTTTTTGGTTTTTGACCTGAAGGAAGGTTGTAACCATGGCCTCATCTGAAAGTTTATTCATTCGCCTGGGCTTCATGAGACTTTCTTCCCACTAAAGGGAACTACTCCATGTGTGAAGACAGAGTACCCAGCAGCAGGAACAAACCAGAATTAGCCATAACCACTAAGCCTCTTGCCCAAATTTACTTAAAAAGATGGAACTGGGGCTTCAAAGCAAACTGTACTGGCTTAATACTGAAGGTGAACAGAAATGAAAAAATCAGTCACTTGAGTGGTTAGGAATACAGTCTTTGGAGCCAGACTGCTTGAGTTTGAATCCAAGCTCCAAATCCATGTTGTTTGGATTATCTAATTGCTGTGACGTGTGGTCTTCTTTCTTTTATTCTTTTATTTTTGTTTTTGTGTTTTTAGAGACGGGGTCTTGCTATGTTGCCCAGGCTGGCCTTGAAGTCCAGGGCTCAAACGATCCTCCCATGCCACTGTACCCAGCATTTTGATTTTTAAAATGAGATAATACAATTATGAGAAGTAAATGAGATAACGCATGTAAGAATACTTGGCACATACTTCTCCATAAATTTTAGCTATTTTTAATTTAGAGAAAAGCTGCTCTTTCTCCTTTTACTTGGACTTTAGGGAAAGTGGCTGGCAGCAACTTTTGAAATATCTTAGAATATTTGTAAAACTAATGTGAGTCTTAATTGCTAGTGAAAAGATCTTGCTGTAATCTTTCAAAAGCAAATTTTAATCGTGAGTATCCAGATTTTACTTTACCTTGATGATGCAAATGTGTGCCTCATGCACCAGGAGAGGCAGTTTGCTCCCAGATCCTCCTGTTTAGGGACATCTTCAAAGGCCACACCAACTGTGTAGTCCAAATGCTCATCCACCTCCACCTCCCAATAATGGTGCCCTCGGACTGGAATTAGATTTCCCATGACAGCAACACACCTGGTTTTAGAAAGCAGAAGCATGTGTGATTTAGCTTCCCAAGCCTGGCTGTGCAGGTCAGTGACACCAGCTGCTGGGACCAATCAGTCAGTGGTCTACGAATGTGGAGGGGTAGGTGCTTCTAGACACTTGTAAAGCACCCTTGGCTCTCAAAGCTCATTGGGTTGATGCTGAAGATTAGAGAAGATTACGATACTACTTGGTAATGGGAGAGCAGGAGGCACTAAACCAACAGAACAAGCTTTGTTTACTCTTTAAAATGGTTGGGACTTTTATAGAAAAAGGTTTGGCTCACTTGTTCATGAAGAAAAGGGTTGAAAATACACAACGCAGCATGGTCAAGGGAACCATAAGCTTGAAGTTCATAAGCACTTGCTTATGGTACAAAATGAACATGGAAGGTCTTTGAGGTAGCCATCATGTTAGGGATGACTCCTGATGGAAGACAAGAATTCAGGGGCCAGCCCAAGAAGAACAAGATAGCAGATTCCTCATAAATCATCAAAATCTACCTCTAAGGTTGCAATGGGAACAATTATACTGACAAAGGTTAGACTTATGTTTGTTCTACACCAGTAAAGTATCAACAGAGGAAGGTTTTCAGTGAAAGTCAAATTATATTAGTATTTCCAAAGTGAATGTTCTGCCTTCTTCAGGAGACTCCTACATTAACCAAAATGTATGTGCCCCCAACATCCCTAGAAAGATTTGTTCAGTTTAAAATCTTCTCTCTCTCCTCTCAAACCCCAAGTTCTTACTGCCAAGCAAAGCTTTGGGAAGGAGGTTGCATGTTAGCTTCAGTTACCTCATCTGTAAAATGAGCCTATCTTTGCTTCAAGCTCCAGACACACATTTCCACCTGTTTCAAATTCAGAATGTCCCAAAATGCAAATAGTCATATTCCCACCCCTCTTATCTACCAAAGTTTGGGGTGTTGTGGGGAGGGGCACATACTTCTCACATCTCCATTTTGGTTAATAGACTCATTATCTCATGGTGAAACCCCATCTTTAAGAAAAAAAAAAAAAAAAAAAAAAAAAGACCCATCTGTCCAGTATCCCTTGGCAGAAAACTAAGATGGGAATAGTGCAGTAGCTACAAGCTTACCTTCTAGTTTAATCCCCACTTCAACCCTTAATAGCGTTATACTCTTGGGCAAGTTACTTCTCTGTTTTAAGTTTTCTCATCTGTCAACTGGGATTGATAATAGTACAGACCTCACAGGGCTGTTAGGATGATTATATGAGATGAAATACATTTAGCACCTGGTAAGCACTCTATAAATATGGCAATATGATAGTCCCTGTCTCGTCTCCCTCTCTGTTGCCCTTTAAACAGGTGACCACCTAGACTCGTTGGTTTTATGTGCTCAAGAGCTATTGACTCCATTGGCTCCTCTCACCCATCCTACTGTGTAGTCAAGTCTCCTCCAGAGTCTCCTCTCTGGTCTCTGTTTCCCATCTGCCTTTCCCTTTCCCTCTCCCTCTCCCTTTCCAGCTCATGTTCTACCATGCACTGGAATCTTTCTGAAATGTAAATCTGATCTTGTTCCCCTGCTTTAAATCCTCCAAAAATTCTCATTACAAAGAGGGTAAAATCCAAACTTGCTTATTGTTCTGGACCTCCTCCGACTTTCCTGCCTCATCTTCCACCTCTTTTCATCATGGACCCTATACTGCAGACATACTAAATTCCTTATATTTCTCCAAACATGATTTTTCTGGCTTCTTTCATATGTATATGTACAAAGCAATTATCTGCCTTGTTGGCCTAGAGAACTCCTATTTATCCTTGATGTCTTTGTCCTTCCAAGTCTTTATTCTTGGGGCTTCTACAATGCTTTGTCCATAAATCTGCCTTACCTTTAGTATGTGTGCCTTTTGCATGGATGTCTCCCCACTTGAGATCTGAGTCTTAGGTGAGCAGGGACTGTATCTTCATCTCTTTCTCTCCCAGGACAGCACAATGTTTCAGAGGGCAACAGATAAACTGGCAACAGGATATTAAAATAGGACTCTAGCTCAGCTTAGCTGAATCCCCAAAAGCTAAGAATGAAACGATGGGTGTAAAGAACTCCTGTTTCATGGGGAGATGCTAGAAATAGACCTCCTAGGCAGAAGTTTAGAAGGAGAGAGCCAAAAACTGGGTTCACAGCTTTTCAGTGCAAAACCAAAGGGCTGAAGGTGAAGATGCTGGAGGCTTTGTCTGCCCAGAGAGCTTTTTTATTTACACAAAGAGTGAGTAGCGGTGTCCTCATCTAAGATGTGTGTTTTCCCAGGACCAGGTGTGACTGGAAACCACCACAGGGATGCTGTCTTAGTGCTCTTTTTGAGGGAGTCCTGTCCAAGAGGGCTTCCTGTGAAGGTCAAGGAGACCTCATCAGAAAGATGCTAGAGTAGTGTTGGATGCAAAGGTCGAAGTGTAGTGAGGGGCCCCTGGAGGGAGGGGGACTGCCTGGGGCCCACAGCTGCTGTCACAGGGGCCTATGACAATGCTCATAAGAGTAGCTTTAAACGTTGCTTTGGTGCTAGTCAGGCAAAACCTTTATTGCTTCTTACTCATCTCTACACCCGAACAAACCTGGGTTGAAAGGGTAGAGGAGGAAAGAACAAAATCATTTTCCTCTCCACCTGCTAGTTCACACTAACAGTTGCATATAGTAGGTGCTTAACCCATGTGCAGTAAAAAGGCCAGCAGGAAGCCAGGGTCGGGAAGAGCCAGCTGAGGGAACTATTCAGGACCCAAGTAGGGGGGCTGGATTCCCTCAGTGGCCCTTCCAACCCTAATAGGAGAGCCCTTTTGCTTTTTTAGAAGATCCTCTTGACTCTAAGATCAGCCTACCAAGAACTCTTTGCCCTGGATACAAGGAAGCTGAGAGGCCATGTTTACACAATCCTAGAAACCTAATTAGCCCTTGAAGTTAACCTGTGTCCTTTCTTTTTTCCCATTGCTTTGATTTTTTTATTTCAGCATTTTATATTTGGCTCTTATTTTGTCTGTTAAGTCTTTGGAAAGAATACCAAGTTCTAGAAATAACTGGAGAGCTAGCCAAGCCTATTTGGTGGGCCACCCCGCCCACAGATCATGCACCAGTCCAATGATGGTTTCCCCCAACTTTGGAACGGAGTCACTCCATAGCCAGTTTTCCATCAGGAGTTTTGCTGTGAGGAACCACAGTGCAGGAGAAAGAGCACTGGGCTAATCGGTGGGAGACCTGGGTTCTTGTTTCTGTTCTGTCACTACCCCACAGCATGACCCCTGTGAGGCACAATAGGGTCTGGGGGGCAGAGAACCTAAGGACTTATAGAACTAAATTAAATGGAAAAACCCCAACTTTCTAAGTCCAAGTCAATAACTTCGTACTTCAGCTGTAGCAGGAAACATCCTCTTCATTTGCATAGGGTGTATACCGAATAAATGACTTTGTAACTTCACTGTAGCCTCTTCATCTACATAGGGTGTACACCAAGTAACCAGTGGAACCTCTAGAGGAGGCTTAAACCCCAGAAAATTCTGTAACCTGGCCCTTGAGCCGCTTGCTTGGCCCGATTCCTCCCTGTGGAGTGTGCTTTCGTTTTCAGTAAATCTCTGCTCTTGTTACTTCATTCTTTCCTTGCCTTTTTTTTTTTTTTGAGTTTCACTGTGTCACCTGGGCTGGAGTGCAGTAGTGCCATCTCTGTCTCCTGGGTTCCAGCTATTCTTTTGCTTTAGCCTCCCAAGTAGCTGGGATTACAGGTGCAGGTCATCATGCCAGGCTAATTTTTGTATTTTTAGTAGAGACGGTTTCGGCACGGTGGCCAGGCTGGTCTCAAACTCCTGATCTCAGGTGATCTGCCTGCCTCGGCCTCCCAAAGTGCTATGATTACAGGCGTGAGCCACTGCTCCCAACCTCTTTCCTTTGTTTGTGTGTTTTGTCCAATTCTTTGTTCAGAACGTCAAGAACCTGGACACCCTTCACTAGTAATACCTGTCCTACCCTCATGACCTCTGGCTGCTACAGCTCTGGCAGCCTAGGATCCGGGGATCATTCCTCCCAGGGGCCCCCACTCTCCCTGGACCTTGCCCTTCCAAGGGGCTCTTCTGCTCTCACCTGACTGACCTCTTTTGCCCACACTCCTCTGGGTCCCCTCCCCACTAGGCTCTTCCCTCCTCACTCATTTCTGGAATTCCTTTTCCCTTGAGGCTGCCTCTGTGCCATATTAAGATTTGACCTGAATAACAGTGCACATTCGGGAAGTTCACAGAATACCCTTGTGAGCTGTTGACAAAGTACCTGGTGAAGTGGGTGTCACTGGGTGGTGGCTCCTTGGTGGGGGTACTCCTTTCACTTCGTAGGATTGTAAGTCCATCTTGAGAAATTGTCAGCCAGGGATGGCAGGTGTCCTTGTTTAGGCGAAAGTAGCTTCCTGTGGGAGAAGGAACACACACAAGACCCGCAGGCAATCACTTGCTTTCTCCACTGAGGGGAGGGGGTATTTCGGCCTTTGCTTTCTGTGGGACACAGGAATCCTGGACCTGGCCTAGTAATAGCTGTCCCGTTAACAAGGATGGCAGTTAACACTAGCTGGGGAGTCTTGTGTGCCTCGTATCTCCTTTGATCCTCACAACTACCCTTAGAAACAGGTGTTACCATTTACATTTTGTAGATGAGGAAACGGAGGCAGAGTGATTATGAAATCAGCTGGCAAATGATGGAACTGAAACTGACCCCCAAGCCTTTCTGATTCCACAGGCTGTGTTCTTCACCTCTAGCTGTAATGCCTGTATATGGATAAGAATTTCTAACCTATTTGCCAAAAGAAAGAGGAATTGAGGGACTTCTTAATGATTCATTTGATTTGCAGTTAGCAGTGGGGAGAAGGAAGTAGATTAGAGTCATCCCCAAATCATGATTAAAACAAAGACCATCAAAAAGTGGCATACGATAGCTGCGTGTGCTGTTGCAAGCCTGTAGTCTCAGCCACGCTGGAGGCTGAGGTGGGATCTCTAGGCTGAGGCAGGAGGATTCCTGGAGGCCAGGAGTTCTGGGCTATACTGTGCAGTGTGGACGGTGTGTCTGCCCTAAGTTCCCTGTCAATCTGGTCACCTCCTGGGAGCAGGGGATCACTAAGTTGCCTAAGGAGGGGTGAACTGGCTCCAGCTGGAAACAAAGCAGGTCAAAACTCTCATGCTGATTGGTAGTGGGATCATGCTTGTGAATAGCCACAGCACTCAGGCCTAGGCAATACAGCCAGCCTGTTCCTTTAAAAAAAAAAAAAAAAGTGGCACTTGATCTAATAAATAATTATCTAGTAAAAAATACCTATTTTAAGAACATAGTAACTCATTCTCCATTATTGTCTCTTAGTCCAGCTCTTAAGTTCCCATTCTATCACTTCTTATTGTCTCAATCCCTAGTTCAAGCATCACCATCGAACTGTTCACAATTATATTCACAATGTGATGCTGCTGGAAAATTCACTTGCCATCTGAGCTGATGTGAAGGGGAGGCATGTTCCCACCTTGCAACTAACACAATGCATGACACTTACTGCCTACTCTCTAGTCCCAAACAAGGATCAGTTTTGAATACATACATACATACATACATACATACGTGTGTGTGTGTGTGTATTTCTCTGATTCACATTTATTTACATTTCTGATAAATACTCTCTTAAAAAATTATTTGGCTGGGTGCTGTGGCTCGCGCCTGTAATCTAGCACTTTGGGAGGCTGATGTGGGTGGATCCCTTGAATCCAGGAGTTCAAGACCAGCCTGGCATCATGGTGAAAACTTGTCTCTATAAATTTTTTAAAAAATGATTAGCCAGTTGTGGTGGTGAACACCTGTAGTCCCTAAGCCTAAGGAGGCTTAGGTGGGAGGATCACTTGAGCCTGAGAGGTGGATGCTACAGTGAGCTGAGATTACACCATTGTACTTCAGCCTGGGTGACTAAGTGAGGCCCTGTCTGAAAAAAGAAAAAACAAAAATAACTTGAGAGTTGGGTGTGGTGAGGTGCACCTGTATTCCCAGCTACTCGGGAGGCTGGGGCAGGAGGATTGCTTGAGCCCAGGAGGCTAAGGCTGCTGTACACTGTGATGGTGTCTCTGAATAGCCACTGCCCTGCAGCCTGGGCAACATTGCTAGACTCCATCTCTGAACAAAATTATTGAATAAACAAATTCAGAGACAATTGAATAATCAAGAATTGGCTGTATTCTATCAAGCAGTACCAGGACAACAGGAGATGTGTACAATGTTTCTAGTGATGCCTCTGCTAACTTAAGACTTGGACATGAGATGTGTTAGTTCTGTGGTGTGATATGGCAGGTGAGAAGGGAGAAGAAGCTGGAATGGGGTACATGAGCACCCACTAGGACCAGGCAGATGGGAGGAGGCTGGTCAGCCAGATCTAAGTTGCCCCCTGAATGGAGAGATGCTTGGGTTGACAGCAGGAACAGGAAGGTGAGCCACGACCTATGACGTTTTCTGGGAATTTCATAAAGACCCCATCCCACACATGGTATGTGAGATATAATATGACATGTCTGGGCTACCCAGGTCTGGTGTGACCAGCCTCTGGTTCAGCAGAGGGGCATGGAGAAAAGCCTTTAGTTCTAATGTTTGCTCAGCCACCAAATTGCTATGTGACTTGGGACGTCAGTCTCTTCATCTGTCAAATGGGACCACAGGGTTATCCCTGAACTCCTTCTGGCCTGGCTTGCCACATGTCCATATCTGTACATATTCGTCAGCTTCCCAGCTAAGTCACAGCAGCACTGGGTCTGCCACAGAGTGGCCACTTTGGGTCTCAGAGACTGCGTGGCCTGGGGCACAGACCTATGGTATGGACTGTAGCAGGCTCGCTCCTCGTGCTGGGGCCTCCTGTGTTGAGGGCTCGCACATAGATAACGTAGCTCTGTCCCGGCTGCAGCTGCACCAGAGATTCACAGGTTGGGATGCCCACAACAGACCTGTACAGGGAAGCAGAGCTGCAGTCAGAATGGGGCCAGGACACCCGGGCCCAAGCATCAGGCATCCCTTTCAAAGCTGGGAGGTGTAACTCACTCTTACACCTCTGTTTTCTGACTCAAAGCAGCACAGCCAGGAATGACTCCCCCTCCATATTCCCTCCCACAGTCTCTGGTCTGCTTTTCTCACTTCGTGGCTGCTTCTTATGTTGTGGCTGTCTCCCCTCCAAGCCCCTCATTCTGGTTTCCCAGGCACCCAGCACCACAGTTGGCATATGGCTAACACTGCATCATGGAGCGTGCATGCAGAAGAATCCAGTGTGTCTCCATCCGTCTGTTCGGATCATAACGTCTCTGAGATCAGGGTTGAGTGCCACTGTTAGTACGGTGGTACTGGGCTCATAGAGGGCCTTCAGTTCAGCCGGATGCGATGGCTCACACCTGTTATTCCAGCACTTTGTGGGGCAGAGGTGAGAGGTCACTTGAGGTCAGGAGTTTGAGACCAGCCTACCCTACATGGTGAAACTCCATCTCTACTGAAAATACAAAAATTAGCTGAGTGTAGTAGCAGGTGCCTGTAATCCCAGCTACTCAGGAGGCTGAGGCAGGAGAATTGCTTGATCCTGGGATGTGGAGGTTGCAGTGAGCCAAGATCACACCACTGCACTCCAGCTTGGGTGGCAGAGCCAGACTTCTCAAAAAAAAAAAAAAGCCCCTTGATTCATGTTTATGAACAAACAATTCTGACTAGAGCTGAAAGGGTTAACTATATTAACCCCCTGAGAACAGCTGCCTATTGGAAATAATTCAGTTTATTTAAATTGTACTATACAGAACTACAAGCCCATAATTCCCGCTGTCTATATTGCTGCGGTTGCCAACCCCATTTCAGTCCAGTGGGCAAGAGAAACTTTTAGGATGATGCCCATTTACCAATGCAACACCCTCACCCAGATGAGGCCAGGCTGTCCAGGTTATCTTTAGGCTGCAGCTCTGGGCCAGAGAGGCACTTTTACTTATGCATTCAATAAATGACTAAACTCCTTAGGTTCCAGGCACTGTATGGCGTGGACCTGGGAAAACCCAAATATAGTTTAGATGGGAAGAGAGGTATTCCTCAGGCAATCAATGGAAGGAGTGTAAGATGGTAACCATGACAAGGTGACAGTGTGTTATAGTGTGTAACGGCGGGGGAGGGATGGCTTTTGAGCTGAGCTCTGAAGAATGCTGAAGAGGTAACTAGATGAAAAAGGGACACGGGGTATCCTACACAAGAGAAGCATGTGCCAAGGCCACACTTGTGGCAGGAAGGAGCACAAAAAAGGAGGAGGAACTGAAACGTGACCAATGTGGTGGGAGCTTGAGAGGGAGGAGAGCTGGTGCGGGAGGAGCTGGAGAGGCAGGAAGGGGCCAGAGCCTGTGAAGGACTTTTGCCTTTTCTTCAGCATTGGGCCCCCATGATTGGATTTGTGTTGGAAGAATACGCACCACCTCTCAGGTCACCTTTCAGGTTACTGACCAGCCCTCTGATGACCTCATCATTGTGAGTTGGTCCCAGGTGTCAAGTGCTCCTAAAGCATCAACATAAATTGCAAAGGAAACCTGAACCATTAGGATGGCTAGAACCACTGAACACCCTGCCCCACTCCTGAGTATCTCCAGAGTGGACTACCAAGATCAGCCTCCATGTGGCTGTGGACATGTAGATTCCACCTAGAACAGATGGATGAGTGGCATATGGCCACATTTAAAGCCTAACATTTAGCACAGAAGAATCTGCTTCCCTAACAGTTGACACCAGCCCCCGTTCATTTCTCCAGCTCTGGATTAGTGCACCCCTGTGCTCCACAGCAGGGGAGCCCCTGGTCCTGGTGGCTGGTGCTGGCCTACCTGGCTGGTTCATCCACTTTCACAAACTTCTGTAAACCAGAGGTAAATCCATGCTTCCTCCATCGTAGGCTGCTGTAAACTCATAGGTTCTTTGAGCCCTTGTGGTCACTGAGCCCAACCCTTATCAATTTGTGAACCCTTCCAGCTCTCTGAGAATGAAGGGGGAGCATGAGCTTCCAGACAGTCTTCTATGATAGATTCTTTGTACATTGAGCTGCAGTCTCTTTTTTTTCACCTTATGGCTTTTACCCTCTCCTCTCTGAATTCCAGTTAGGTGGGTCTTTTAGTTCCTCCAGCACATCAAGCTCACTCCTGCTCAGGGCTGGTGTCCATACAGCCCCTCTCCCTAGAGCACCCTACATTCGCTGTTTTTGGGGCTCAGTCTTTCCCATCTGTTCAGGTCTCAGTTTAAACATGTTCTTTATCCAAAGTGGATCCTCACCTCTAGCACCATTCTGTTTTATTACACTTTTTCCTTCCTAGCACTGCATATTTTACAGATTGGTTAGTTTTCTTGCCTTTTATCTATTTCCCCACTAGACTGACAGCCCCAGTAGGGCAGGATGTTTGTCCATCTAGTTTCCAGTGCCTTGCCCAGGACCTGGCACCACCCAGGCACTCAATGCTTGTTGAATGAATAAATGGGAAACCTTGCTTGAGCTAAAAAACAACAACAAAACCTGAGATTCAACTAACTAATTTATACATCATTCACCTTGAGTAATAGCATTCCAGCTACTTCTTGTGAAGACTAAGCAAGCAAAAATTGAGATTGCTTGTATCAAAATGCCAACATTCTCTCCAGACTACATATACTTCCTAAGCCACGTCACTGTATCAGGTATCGGGGCTCTCATGCCCCACAAATGCCCTTATGACTCACTCAGTTACACCTGAGGCTTCTGGACTTTCAGCCTGGGTCAGCTCCACGGTGTACGAGTCCACAGGATTCAGGTTCCCAGACTCCCAGCAGATCAGCACAGCCTCTTCACAGCTCCTTATCTCTTTGGTTTTTATGATGGGGGGAGAAGGCGCTAAATGTGGGAGAAAGGGAGAGATGAACAACTGCTGTGTTCATTTCTAGCCATTTTGTTCAGAGCCAAGGACAAACATCACAGTCACCTTCTTCCTCCCACAAAAGAGATTCAGTGCAATAAGCAAACCAGATCCCTTCCAGATGTTCCTGGAGTAGAAGATGGTTGCAAGGTTCAACTGTCAGTGTGATTGAGAATAGGAGTTTTTTATATTTTGAGAGCAACTATCAGAAAAGGTCACTGTCGGTTGGGCATGGTGGCTCACACCTGTAATCCCAGCACTTTGGGAGGCCCAAGGCAGGCAGATCACTTGAGGTCAGGAGTTTGAGACTGGCCTGGCCAACACGGTGAAACACCGTCTCTACTAAGAAAAAAAAAAAAGAAAAAAAAAATCAGCTGGGTAGGGTGGCAGATGCCTGTAATCCCAGCTACTCGGGAGGCTGAGGCAGGAGAATCACTTGAACCTGGGAGGCAGAGGTTGCAGTGAGCTGAGATCACACCACTGCACTCCAGCCTGGGTGGAACTCCATCTCCAAAAAAAAGGAGAAGCAAATGTCACTGACAAACTAGGCATGTATATTTGGTGTATTAAATAAAACAAAAAAATATACACAGCTCTTCTATCCTTCCAAGTGAAATCAAGCACGCTGCCATATGTAGAAACCCATGACTCCTGTGTCCCCTTGAGTGAAAGCCCTGCTATAGGAAATGAGTAGCCCATTACCTGTCACGTACACTGCACGCTCGCTGGAGGGGCTCAGGCCAGCCCTGTTGTGAGCTGTGACCCAAAATTCATACTGAGTATTTGGCACAAGGTCTGTCACTGAGCAATATGTTTCTTTGATGGTCATTGTAAACTCTGGGGGAAAAAAAGATAAGAATTCAACCCTAAAAACTGGCCAAGTGGCCTCAAGTTCATTATGCCCACCATAGTAGATTACAAAACTAGCTGTAAATTCCTCCCATCACTGGATGCACTCCCTCTGCAGCGTGGCTTTGCTGCTCCTTCCATTCAGAGCTTCCTTCCTTCTCTCTGCTCCTTGAAACTGGGCTTAGCTATGTGACTAGCTTTGGCCAATAGGGCAATAGCAAATGATGCAAATGGGTGTGGGAAGTGCTGGTGCACAGGGGCTCGCCCTGTTGCTGCTGGGGATGCTTCCACTACCGTGTCAGTAAGGCCAAGCCAGCCTCCTGAGGGATGTGAGACCACAGGGAGAGAGACCCCAGCCGTCCAAGTCCTCCTGGCCATCCTACCTGAGGCAACAGTAAATGAGGCCATCCTAGACCAACCACCCCTATCCAAGGTAGGGGGTGTTTCTGTTCTGAACCACCCTGGGTAGGGGTGGTCTTATATTTCTGTGCATTGGTTTGGTCAATGCACAGAATTATATGAAATAATAAATGTTATTTTAAGCCACTAAGTTGTAGGGGTTGCGGAGGAGGATTGGTTTTGAAGCAAAAACTGACACCACTCCAGAATCTTGAAAGGCAGTGATAATTCCTTCATTTGCCTTCAGATATCAGTTCCTTTATAGCAAAATGGTCAGTTTAAAAGATCTTATAGATTGCCATGACACAGCCCCAATGCAGTGGCTTCTGTGTATCTGAAGGGGATGCTGGCAGGGTTGATTTGTGGCAAAAGCTGGGGTTAATGAAGTCTGACTTGCTAGTCCCCTACCTCCCTTTTCAAAGCTCCTCACCTCGCTCCATGGCTTCTTTAGTCCTTATGCTGACCACCCTCACCATCCCTCATCATCGCTTAAATTACTCTTACTTTTCCCAAGAATTCCCCTTCTTTCCTGGGCAGAAACACCGTCCTCAGCTTCTGGAACTCAGCCCTCCACCTGCATGGTCTGGTACAATGAGTGGAACTTGGGGCAGGATGCCTACACACTGATTCACAGGCTCATTCCACCGTAACTTACTATGTCCTCATGGACTACTACTTTCCCTCTGAGTCTGTTTCCTCATCCATAAAATGGAGATCTCTAAGTGTCTTTCCAGCAATCCCATTCTGACCCCACATGCACAGGACAGGTGCTGTCAGGCTGGCCCTGATCCCTTGAAATCTTCAGATACTCAGCTGGGGCTCTTCTGCTGTCTGACCCACCCTCCTTAAAAGAGAACAGCTTATTGATTAGGGTGTGGCCCTATCCCAGCTGTAACCCCACACCAGCCAGTCTCATTTCCAGGGAAAAGGATATTGGCCAAGAGCTGCCCACAGTGGAGGCTGGGGGCCATCCCAGGAGCTGTTTCCACTGGGAATGTGGAGCTGGTCAGCAGCAGCCCTTCCAGGCTGCACAGGCCCCTTCACCCATCATGGGGTCTGCAGACGAATCCTCCAGTTTCTCCTGCAGCAGAAGGCTGTTGTGAGAGGAACCAGCCTGACCCTCAGCTGCCAGGACAAGTTAGAATCCAGCCAGCCCAGTGGGGCCTCCTTGACAAGGGGTGTCCCTGGCCCCTCCTGCACACAGTGCAGCCATAGACTGGTCTCAGGGACAACTCTGACTCGATGGCTGTAGATACACTCCAGCCCCCTTTGCCTGGCCTCGCCGTCATCCTGTCAGGCCCCAGGATGCCTTGCTAGCCCTTTCTGCCTGCCTACCTGCCTGCATCCCATCCTCGGCATGTATAGACCCACCCTGTCTCCACCGTCCCAACTGTCAGGAAGACAGGGCCGAGGACCCTGTGGGGCCTGAACCGTTCCTGTGAGCATGAGCATGTTCCTGGCAGAGCCTCACCTGCTTGGTCCTTCCCAGGTGAGCTGTCCTGCACTGGCCGGTAGGACAGTTGATAGCTCTCCACAGTGTCATCGGAGTATAAGCTCCAGCACACTCGGACTGAGGAACCTGTGGCTGAGTTAGGGGTTTGTGGATTTATGACTGGAGCAGAAGGAGCTAGGAAAAGAAAATAAAAAAATAATAAAAGCCTCTTATAGAGGTGTGGGGTGACAGTGGCCCCTTTCCCATGACCATTGATCCCCCAAATGAATCCACACCCTTTGGGAATGAAAGAGGAAGCCCAGAGTAGGCAAGGATGGGAACACAGAGCCTCTCAACCATGAGTCTGCAAAATACAACCCGTATATCTATTCTTGCTTTGACAAGTGCAGATGAACTTAGAGAGCAGGGGTAGGTGATGGGGATTCAGGCCAGGGAATAGATTGCGAGTCCTGCTCCAGGTTGTGGGTCCTTTGGCCCTTCCATGGCACTTAAAGAGGCAGGACAACCAGGATCACAGCGCTGCTGCCTCAGGAGAAAGAAGCCTTCAACAAGGAAGATCTGCTTTTATTGACGGTGCGGAGAAGAGGCATCCAGGAACTGTCTCCCACATTACAGTGAGAGAACATTGGGGTGGCCCAGTTGTGCTTTTCAGAACCAACATCTTTATAGTTCATCTACTAAGTTAATTCTTTTCTTCTCCGTAGGTGAATACTTCTATCTCTCCCAATCCCATAAAATCTCACACACACAACCAAGAATAAGAACAAGTGGTATTTTTCCTCTAAAATTCTTTTTCCTCTCTCTTTGAGACAAAGTCTCACTTTGTTTCCCGGGCTGGAGTGCAGTGGCATGATCTTGGCTCACTCTAGCCTCCACATCCTGGATTCAAGCGATTCTTATATCTCAGCCTCCAAAGTAGCTGGAACTACAGTCACATGCTACCACACCCAGCTAATTTTTGTATTTTTAGTAGAGACAGGGTTTCGCCATGTTGGCCAGGCTGGTCTTGAACTCCTGACCTCAAGTGATCTGCCTGCCTCTGCCTCCCAAAGTGCTGGGATTATAGGTGTGAGCCCCTGTGCTTGGCCCTTTCCTCCCTAATTCTTCTCCCGTGGCAGCATCTCCCTCCATCCCAGGCTTTTAATTATCCTTAGTTTCAAGTTGAAATTGATCAACCCATGTAAAAGACCAGCTGAGACAAAAGGAGTTGACTTAGCTTTGGCTTATCCTTTGCTTTCTGGTCAGGGTCTGAACGATCATAATGTGACAGAGGTGAGGAGGAAAACAAAGAATTTATATTCCCAATGACAAAGTCCAGGGTGCACAACAGATGCCCTGCTAGACACTGTCAAATACAGCTTCACTTGGAGATACAGTGTAAGAAGTTGGATGGTTCTGGGAGCTTTTAACCCCTCAGGAAGCACTAGATGCAAGCAGGAAGGTGATGGTTTATGTGAGACCTGGACAAAGGAAGGTGAAGAAAAATGTCACTGCTTCTTGAGCACGGATTTGGGCAGTAGTGCCTTTCCTTCCCAATGTCTGAGCCTGATCATTTGGGCAGCACTATTCCTAGAGGATGAAAAGAGCCATCCAGTGGACCTCATAGCCCAGTGAAATTTCTCCTTGACCCAGTGATTCTAAGAATGGTTCCCAAGATCTGTGATTAAAGATTTGCGGTGGGGACCGGCTGGGCTGTGGCGGGTCCTGTTTCTCTTTCACTTTCCTTCACTCTGAGGCCAGTGCGCTGGGTGGGTGAGGAGCAGCGGCAGTAGTGGGAAAGTAGTGGGAAACTACTACCCAGTTGTGGGAAAGCACAACCACCAAAAGGAGTGATGATCAATGATCTCATGATAAATCTGGATGCTAGTTCTCATGCCTCAGGACATCCTACTGGGAATGCCACACCTGCTCCTGGGATCAGACTTTCATCTACTTAGGACTCCTCTTTGCCTGAACTACTAAAGCCAGTCCTAGCTAGCCATGAATGGCTACCCAAAGCAAACACTTGGTGAAAGATTTTAATCCTTTCATTACCTGCTATATCTGTAAAGTGTATCTGATCAAGCCAACAGCAGTGGTGGAATACTTCCTTACAGTCTCTAAGACTTGTATTGTTCAGCACTTTGACGATAGCAATGATTGCCCAAGGTGTGGCAACCAAGTTCATGAGACAAAGCCATTAGAAATATTGAGATTGGACAATACGTTAGAGGAAATTATATTTAAGCTGATCCCTGGATTACAAAACAAGGACTTGAGTTTGAATCTGAATTTCGGAAGAAAAATAAGCCTCAAGAAAATGGACAAGATGTTACTTCAAAAGTTGACAAACTGAAAGTGGATGACGAAGGTGATGAAAATCAAGATTATCATAGAAGTGACCCACAAATTGCTATCTGTCTAGATTGTTTATGAAATAATGGACTATCGGGGGACAGTGTAGTAAAGGGTTTAATGAAGAAATTCATTCGATGTTCTACACATGTAACTGTTGGAACTATTAAAACATTTCTAAGTTTAAAGCTAAAACTTCCAAGTTCTTATGAGTTGGATGTGCTGTGCAATGGTGAAATTATGGGGAAGGATCATACTATGGAATTCATCTACATGACAAGATGGCGACTAAGAGGCGAAAACTTTCGGTGTTTGAACTGCTCAGGTTCGCAAGTCTGCTCTCAGGATGGCCCTTTGTATCAGTCATACCTTATGGTATTGCAGTATCGACCAAGAATTGATTCTGGTTAGACGAAGGGGCCCAGACCTCACTGAGATGAATCCTGCACTATTTGTTTACTGGTCAACAGATTGCAGTTAACAGTTTATCAACTAGAGAACACAACCGGATTTTCAGCATGCAAGTAAGGCCATTGTCTATCTCTAAATTGCCAGTTGCATTCATGTTGTTTCTATCAAGAGTAAACCAAGTGCCATTCTGCTACTGAACCATCCGCATAAGGTATCTGTGTTGTCTCAAAGAGTGCAAGTCATGGTTAAAATCTGGTGTGCCGCCATGATTCAGCCTTCTGAATATTTTGCTTGCCTGTTCCACGATTGTTCTAATGTTTAATTACACTAGTAAAATGGCTCAATTTTTGTGATGTTACAGTTTTCATATACTATTTTATTCTTGTTTAAATAGCATACTGTACAAGAAACTAATAATTATATTTTGAAATTATTTTGTATGGAAATATATTTAGAAAAGTGGTTTTTGAGCCACTATCTTGTTCTTGGAAGCTTTTTTTTTTTTTTTGAGATGGAGTTTCGCTCTTGTTACCCAGGCTGGAGTGCAATGGCGCAATCTCGGCTCACCGCAACTTCCGCCTCCTGGGTTCACGCAATTCTCCTGCCTCAGCCTCCTGAGTAGCTGGGATTACAGGCACGCACCACCATGCCCAGCTAATTTTTTGTATTTTTAGTAGAGACGGGGTTTCATCATGTTGACCAGGATGGTCTCGATCTCTTGACCTTGTGATCTACCTGCCTCGGCCTCCCAAAGTGCTGGGGTTACAGGCTTGAGCCACTGTGCCCGGCCCTTGGTAAGCTTTTCATGTGAAAAAAAAGTTCATTCTTGAGTGTGCAAGTGCTTTTGCAAAGAATTCCAGTTATTCTGTAACATTAGAGCCCAACATAATTGTAGACATTCTAAGCATCTGCCTGTGTAGCCTCCCAGTTGCACAAGGAAGGCATGTTAGCCCTCCAGATTGAAAATGTATATGACCTCTTGAACTGAAGTTAGATTCCCAACGATTCAAAATGTTGGCAGCTGATCTCATTTACTTCTGATAAAATTAATGTGTAAGTAAGGTTAATCTTCTTTCATGATGCCTTGTGACAAGCAGGTGCTGCTTCATGAAATATCATTGTATAGCCCATTTCATATAGCATTACATTGTTGCTGTTGTTGAACAAGTGCATTATTTCTCTTTTTAAATTGGCCTTAGGTATATGTTGTTGTGACATGCAGAGGGTTATGATGAGTTTAAATATTAGGATTTTTAGAGCACATAACATCAGCTATTTTATGGATTTCAAAAGTCTCAAAACAGTTATAGATTAAAACTGTTAGTTACCGTTCACATTTCCAAACTATATTCATAAAATAGAATAAATGCAGTATAGAAGATAACTATGCTAACCAAAATTAATAGATTAAGGGTATTTTATTTTAAATCCTATGGTAATCGGGGAAATGGGATTATTGTTTTATACATGAGTTCATTAAGATCAGAAAAACAAAATGTCTTGTATTTTGCAGTTTTGTTAAGTCTTTCATTCATTTTAGGATTAGTCTGTAAGTCAAAGAAGGTCTTGTTACCTTAAGTTATATGAAAACTGTCATTTTAAACCTTTTAAAATTTACAGTTTTCAAAAAACTTATTTGGAGATTGCTTTGAAACAAACAAGCTAAACTTTGAAACTTAGAAAAAAATCTTGAAAGTTAGGAAAAATATTTGTTTTAGAAATATGAGCACCATCTGTGTGTTACACACATTTAGTTTTTGTACTGTGTATGTGGTAAATGTGCCACATTCTCCATTATAACGTATCAGAAATCAATGCCCTCTGAATTTCAAAATGATTCTTAGAAATAAGATATTGTACAACTATAGCAAACATATAAAATACAGCTAAATCTTAATACTTTTCACTATATAAAAGGCTGAAACTTCATAATTATCCTTTCCTTGTATCTTTTTTTGAGTCAAAAAGTCTATTAAAATTTTCTGTTCTAAATTTGGTGGAAAAGGTTATGGCAATACTTTCTTAACTTTGTTTTGTTAGATTGTTTTTATTCTTGGAATGGCTTACAAGCAGAATTTAAAAGGCAGATTGTCGTTAACTATAAATGACTGAAAAAACTGAATTTACTATTTAGCTAGAGAAATTATTTTTCTGTGCTGTGAAAGCCAGGTCTCAGACATCTCTAAAAACTTTTAAAAATTATTATAAATTTGTCACATCTAGGTCAGTGATTAAAATAGTGTTTTGCAAATAGAAGTTAATTTTAAATTAACTCAAAATAAATTGAGTACATTTTAAAAATCACTAGTGAGACTTTGATGTTTTGCTTTTCCCCCAAGCCAAAATCTCTTTAAATTTGGTCAGTTGCCTTGTCATATGTAATTTCACTATTTTCCAAGGAAATATATAGGAAGCAATTTTGAAACTGAGAATAGTTTTATATAGAATTCCTCTATTTACTAATAATGCATTAACATTTTTACTGAAATGCAGTGGAATATGTGCCAAAACATGTGAAAAGCTTACATAAAGAAAGGCATCAATTGTCATTTGGAGAAAGGTACACATTTTTTTGATGGTCCTAAGTGATATGGTGTTACTACTAGAATCACAGATTTCTTCAACTGACTTCTTTTGGTATCTTCAACTACAGCTTTCTACAGATAGGACTGCTTTCATGTCTAGTAATACACTGTATTCCCCATTAATTATCCCTTAAGTCAGCTTGTAGAATTTTCAAGAAACTAGGTATAGAAAAAATATACAGGCAACTTTTGTGGTTAGCTTCATAAATTTAGGGTGCTTATAAAATGAATTCTTTATATAAACTATAGGAGTAATCATCCGAATCTGTAAAATCAGAGAATAAAAGTTTTCTTTAATCTGTTTCTTAAGCAATAAACTGAAAGACCTTTACTTCCCAAAAAAAAAGATTTGCATTACAATATGGTTTATAATAATAAAAAAATTAGAAACACCCCAGTATCCAACAATTGAGGATTAAATAAACAAACGAAGGTATGTAGCCACTAAAGTGATGTTATAAGAGAATTTATCAGGGTGAGAAAATATCTATCAAAATTGTTTTGCTAAAAAAAAAGCACATTACAGAACAGAATGATTCAATTTTTATAACAAAAATACTATGCAAGGAAAAACCTAAAATGCTATACACAACATTGTTTACAATCTTGTTGTTCAGTGTTGGTGAGAGAGGGAAAGTGAGCAGTTGAAAAAAGAGGAATTATAGACTATCCTTATAAATAATTACAATAATATTTTATTTATTTATTTTGATTTTTTTTTCTTTCTTTTTTTTTGAAATGGAGTCTTGCTCTGTCACCCAGGCTGGAGTGCAGTGGGGTGATCTTGGCTCACTACAACCTGTGTCTCCCAGGTTCAAGTGATTCTCCTGCCTCAGCCTCTTGGATAGCTGGGATTATAGGCACACACCACCATGCCCAGCTAATTTTTTGTATTTTTAGTAGAGATGGGGTTTCACCATGTTGGTCAGGCTGGTCTCGAACTCCTGATCTTGTGATCTATTTGCCTCAGCCTCCCAAAGTTCTGGGATTACAGGTGTGAACCACTGCACCCGGCTTATTTCTTTTCTTTTCTTGAAACAGGCTATCACTCTGTCACCCAGCCTGGAGTACAGTGGGGTAATCATAGCTCATTGCAGCCTCAAACTCTTGGGCTCAAGCAATTCTCCCACCTCAGTCTCCCTTGGGCTCAAGCAATCCTTCCACCTCAGTCTCCCAAGTAGCTGGGGCTACAGGTGCACGCTGCCACACCAAGCTTATTTTTAAGATTTTTTTTGTAGCTATAGGGTCTTGCTATGTTGCATAGGCTGGTCTGAAACTCCTGGGCTCAAGCAATCCGCCCACCTCAGCCTCTCGAAGTGCTGGGATTACTGGCATGAACCAGCACGCCCTGGCCCACAATAATACTTTAAAGACTTACTTGACACCATGTACTATGTGTTACATAAGTTATCTCACTTAATTCTCACCATATTCCTATAAGGTATTATAATGTCCATTTTTTCAGATTAAGAAACCAAGTATCCAACAATTAGAGAAGTTAGGTGAGTTGTCCAGAGTCACACTGCTAGGTAGTGGCAGAGTTGGGATTCTCATTAGCTCCATAGAATTCCAAAGCCCATCTCTTAACCACTATGCTAAAAACAGACACCCATGAGGAATATAAATACGTTTAAGGAGATAAAGTTTGAGCTTCTTGCTTGGTATAAATTAGACAGGAAGGTAGGTGTTTAGGAAGCTGTACAGGCTATAAACAGAAAATATTTCAAGACTAACGTCAGATGTTGGCAACCTGGAGAGTGAGGGTAGGTACTTACCTCAGAGAGGTCAGCCTCTGTTCTCACTTATGAGCCATAAAGACAAAAATAGAAAGTCAGAGAAAAAAAATACTTGTTTCTAAATCTTTTTTTTTTTTGAGACAGTCTCGCTCTGTCACCAGGCTGGAGAGTGTAGTGGCATGATCTTGGCTCACTGCAATCTCCGCCTCCTGGGTTCAAGCCATTCTCCTGCCTCAGCCTCCCAAGTAGCTGGGATTACAGGCACATGCCCCAACACCCAGCTAATGTTTGTATTTTTGGTAGAGACGGAGTTTCACCATGTGTGCCAGAATGGTCTTGATCTTGACCTTGTGATCTGCCCACCTCAGCCTTCCAAAGTGCTGAGATTACACGCATGAGCCACCACGCTTGGCTCCCTTTTTCCTTTTCACCTTGGATACCTTTCTCTTTCTTTTGCCTAATTGCTCTCACAAGATTTTCTAGCACTACGTTGAACTGGAATGGTGAGAGTGGGCATCTTTGTCTTGTTCCTGATCTTGGAGGGAAAGCTTTCAACTTTTTACATTGAGTATGATGTTAGCTGAGGTATGTCATATATGACATTTCTTATAATGTTTGCTCTAATCTTTATTATTTCCTTTCTTCTGCTAAATTTGGGCTTAGCTTGTTCTTTTTCTAGTTCCTAGAGGTGTAAAGTTAGGTTGTTTGAGATTTTTTCTCTTTCTTAACGTAGGCGCTTACTGCTATAAATTTCCCTTGTAGTACTGCTTTTGCTGCATCCCATAAATTTGGGTATGTTGTATTTCATTTTCATTAATCTCAAGATTTTTTTACCTTCCTTTTGATTTCTTCTTTGGCCTATTGATTGCTCAGGAGTGTGTTTTGTAATCTCCACATATCTGTGAATTTTCCAATTTTTTATTGTTATTGATTTCTAGTTTCATACCATTGTGGTCATAAAAAATACTTGAGGTCTGGCTGAGCATGGTGGCTCAAGCCTGTAATCCCAGCACTTTGGGAGGCCGAGGCAGGTGAATCACGAGGTCAACAGATCGAGACCATCCTGGCCAACATGGTGAAACCTTGTCTCTACTAAAAATACAGAAAATTAGCTGGGCATGGTGGCATGTGCCTGTAATCCCAGCTACTCAGGAGGCTGAGACAGGAGAATTGCCTGAACCCAGGAGGTGGAGGTTGCGGTGAGCCGAGATTGCGCCATTGCACTCTAGCCTGGGTAACAAGAGTGAAACTCCGTCTCAAAAAAGAAAAAACAAAAAAAAAAACTTGAGGTCAGGCACAGTGACTCAGGCATGTAATCCCAGCATTTTGAGAGGCTTAAGCAGGAGGATTGCTTGACACCAGGAGTTGAACAGCCTGGGAAACATAGTGAGACCCCATCTTTACAAAAAAATTGAACAAATTGGCTGGGTATAGTGGCATGTGCCTGTAAGTCCTAGCTACTTGGGAGGCTGAGGTGGGAGGATTGCTTGAGCCCAGGAGTTGGAGTTTGCAGTAAGCCATGATCACACCACTGTACTCCAGGTTGGGCAACAGAGCAAAACCCTATCTCAAAATAGTAATGATAATAACAATAAAAGATACTTGATATGATTTCAATCTTCTGTACAGAACTATCATATGATCTAGTAATATCACTTCAGGGTATGTATTCACCAGAATTGAAATCAAGATCTTAAATATACCTGTGTCCCATGTTCATTGCAGCATTACTAACAATAACCAAGACATGGAAACAACCTCAGTGTCCATCAATAGATGGTGGATTTTAAAAAGTGGTGTGTGTGTGTGTGTGTGTACATATGGAATATTATTCAGCCTTAACAAGGAAGTTTTACCATTTGTGACAACATGGATGAAACTTGATGACATTATGCTAAGTGATTTTAGCCAGTCACAGAGGGACAGATACTGCATGATTCTACTTACATGCAGTATATAAAATAGTCAAACTCCTAGAAGCTGAGAATGGAATGGTGGTTGCCAGGGGCTTGGGGGAGGGGGAAATGGGGAATTGTTCCACAATGGATACAAAGATTACTTATTCAAGATGAGTAAGTTCTAGAGGTGTGCTGTACAACACAGTACCTATACTTAACAATATTGTATTGTGCACCTTTTAATTTGTTAAGAGGGTAGATCTCACGTTAAGTGTTATCACAAGAAAGAAAAGTGCTCTGGGTGGTCTGAGCCTGCCGTGAAGTACACACACAGGTGAGACACGCACCTGGAATGGTGTTAATGGAGCCCATCAGCTGCTCCACATCAGAGAAATCCAAGGTCTGGTCTTCAAAATCAGGCTGTGTGGAGATTTCCACATCTGTTTTTGTTTTCAGGAATTTCCCGAGTCTGTTGGTGTAAAAAGACACGCTGATAAGAATGGAGGGGCATTCTCCTTAGGGTATATCTATAGTACTGAGTCACTAGTCATAAATGAAAAGGACCTCTTTGCTGAACTTTTATTTAGTTTGTTTTACAGCTGCTGGCTGTTATCTACCATCTTCTTTGGAGACTGACCTAGGGGTCATCAGTGGGGATGGGTAGGATTGATCTGTGCCTTTGAGGGAGAGGAGGAAGGGTAAGGCCATGTCAGAGGCAATCCACCAATGAGATCCAGAGCCACACCTTCTGGAACATCTCTTAGGTGCTAACCTCAGAGTTCCCAGTCTCAAGTCACTCCAGGCCCAAGATGTACTGAGGGTGTAGACTCCTGTGGCTTCCTCTCTACATGGTCAGATGCCCTCAAGTTGCTGATCATGGGACTCAGGGTCTCCTTGTACCTGCTTCCTGGCAATCACAAGGTTTGTAAATGGCAGAGGCAGAATATGAAATCAGGGCTGGGCACGGTGGCTCGCACCTGTAATCCCAGCACTTTGGGAGGCCAAGGCAGGCAGATCACTTGAGATCAGGAGTTCAAGACCAGCCTGGCCAACATGATGAAACCCCATCTCTACTAAACATACAAAATAATTAGTAAGGGATAGTGGTGGGCACCTGTAATCCCAGCTTGTTCAGAGACAGGCAGGAGAATTGCTTGAACCTGGGAGGCAGAGGTTGCAGTGAGCCGAGACTGCATCATTGCCCAGCCTGGGCAACGAGAACGAAACTCCATCTCAAAAAAAAAAAAAAAAATTTTGAAACCAGGTCCATCTTTGCCAAAATCCCTGCACTTAACCCTTACATTATTAAACTTCTGTGTTCATGTTACTTTATGCACATTATCTTATTTGATTCTCAAAACTATCCTCATTTGTAGATAACGCGAGTCCTAGACTGATTGGATTTGTCAAGGTCATGAGTGTAGCAGGATGTGAACTCCTGTCTGTCTGACTCTAAAATGTGCATGCTTTCTGCAACTGCATAGTCTGGGTCCAGCCAGACATAGCGGGGGATGTTGGGGATACTCTGTAGATCTCGGTTCTTCCTGGTGAAATGAGGGGCTTGTGGAGGAGAGCTGCCCACAGGCTTGCTGACTGAGCCTCACCATGCATGCTCCCTGCTGAGCCTCACCATACATGCTCCCTGCTAGATCTGAGATCCTGAGATTCAATACTAGATGCTCCTAGTGACCACACACCATCATTCCAAAGCCAGTGCTAGTTTACTCAGGATTGACACAAAAGCTGAAACTAGAAGCGCATAACCAAATGGAATGGAGTCTATTTGGATATCTCAAGTTGAAAAAAACAGAAAAAGGAAATACATATTAGAACAAATGTATTACCTGTCAGCCATAGCCACTGCATCCTAAAAAGGAAAAGGAGAAAATATTAAGTTGATTTTGGAAATAAATTTCGTTTACCAACATATTGCAATAAATATATAGATAGCTATAACTATATATATAAAATAATATATATTGTTACATCCTACATATATAAGATGGATATATATAACAAATGATATAACTATACATAACATATATACAATATAATAACATAAACATAGAAGAAAACTTAAAAATTAGAAAAAAGTAAAAAAGCCCAGCTGTATCCCATACCCTAACAAGACCACCCTTATGTCCGTGCATTTTCTTCCATGCCACAGTACTGCTTTTCCCCATTAACTTTGGCATGCACCTGTGGTCCCAGCTCCTTGGGATGCTGAGGCAGAAGGATCATCTGAGCCCAGGAGGCTTCAGTAATCTATGATCACACCACTGTCCATCAGCCAAAGCAACAGAGTGAGACCCTGTCTCAAAGGGAAAACAACAACAAAAAATCCACACTATGTAAGCACTTTCCATGTTATGAATGGTCTTTTGGGCCATCAGCTTGAACACTTATATAACAGTTGACTATGAACGGTTAATGAATGGAAACTCCATCATTTACTTAATGATTATTATTGGACGTTTTGTTGTTTCCAGTTTTTCACCATCATATGTCACAGTGAGAAGCCCACCTTCATGTTTATCACTTTCTCCACGTTTTGCACATAGTGGGCCCACTAGTTCGAAAGGTATGACCATTGATGGTTCTTGGAGTGCCTGCCAAATTGCTCTCCAGCTTCATTCATGGGTCTCACCCTAAGCACAGCAGGAAGGAGGCATGGTTGGGCTATGAGGGGTGACTGTGTGCTTGGAAAAGGTGGGGGTCATACTTGGCAACCAGGAAGCTCTGGAGGCTAAAGGCCCTTCCCCATGCCCTCAACACCACATCTTCCTGGTACTCCTGTGGGACCTTGTGAAGAAAGGGGACCCCAGCTCTGACTGAGATTGAATTTCCCACAGCCCAGCCTCGTAGGGGGTTGGGTCAGATTTAATTTGATTTCAAGAAAATTAGGAAATGGATTTTTTTTTTTTTTTTTTGCATATCTGAGTTTGTGAAGTAAGCCCTTTTTTTCATTGCTACAGTTGTAACTGGGAAATTTAAGGTGCCTTTTCAGCCTTGACAACTTTCTACCCAGAGTTCCAAGAGGCCATCTCCAAGAGGGGGCCGGAAAACTCTCAGAGCACGGCTTTTGCTCAGCTCAGCTCCAGGATGAGGGGAGAGGTATCCGGGTGACCAGAACAGAGGAACAAAGACTGGTGCTGCCTCCGCGCTGGGGGACGGAGAGAGTCTGCTGCTGTGAGTCTCCCTGGCTACTCGTGTGGCCATGCAGAGAGATTGGGCCACAGCCTCCCTGTCATGATCACCCAGTGGAATCAAATGGATGTTGGCCGTAAAAGTCGATTCCAGTGCCTCCAGGAGGAGCGAGGACAACCTAGCTTACCTCAGCCATAACTGAGGTAACTGAGACTGTTGTTTCTGTTTGTAATTCCATCTCTTTTGTTCAGTTCATTTCATTTCACGACTGACCTTTATGAAATCCACCTTCTCCTCGTGACACATCTCTTCTATTGTTTCCATCAGTTCTTTGCAGGTATCTAGGTTTTCTCCACAGCTGACCAGTTGTTCATATAAGGCTTCCACCTTCTCTTTCTTTTTCTCCCCTAGAGCTTGTATTTTTTCTTCATATTTTTGAGCAAGTGTTTCCAAGATCTCATTGTAATGTGACTCAAAGTTTTGTTCTTGTTTTCCAAAATTCTCCTGCAAGACAGTTGAACTCAGTCATCATTTCAGTACATGTGGTGCATTGATTAGTATTTTTATTTTTATTTTTTGAGACAGAGTCTCACTGTGTCACCCAGTGCAGTGGTGCAATCTCGGCTCACTGCAACCTCTGTGTTCCAGGTTAAAGTGATTCTCTTGCCTCAGGCTCCTGAGTAGCTGGAATTACAGGTGCACATCACCACAACCTGGCTAATTTTTGTATTTTTAGTAGAAACGGGTTTCATCATATTGTCTTGGCATGTCTTGAACTCCTGACCTCAAGTGATCCACCCACCTCAGCCTCCCAAAGTGTTGCAATTACAGGCGTACAACATCACGCCCAGCCTGATTAGAGTCATTAGATAAATGAAAATGTGTACCTACCAGAATTATTTTAGTCCCTCTACTTTGTCCTCTCATCTCTTGTCAGGATGTTGGAATGAAGCTGGAGGTGCTAGAACACAAGTGTCTCCAGCCTAGATCCCCAGGAATAATCTAAACAAAAGCACTGCTTTCTCTCCTGGCAGCATTTTGCAATCCACCTCCAGTTCATTTACCTTCTATCACCACGAAACTGATCAGGGAGATTATCAGTGATGATTCTGCCCAATATTGGACCTTAATGTGGAAATATTTTCCCTGAGAGATTACCATCTACCATTCCCTCCTGAGCTCTTAACATCTCATGAGGCTTCTCTTCACTCCTTGGTGCTTGAATCATACAAACACCAAGATTAAATCAACTAGGATCATATCAACCAGGGGAGAGACAAAGGCAAAGGCGAACAAGGGTTGCAGCCAGGCGACACTGCCTAATAAATGAGAAGATGCAGGAGGGCAGAGGGAGGGTTCTGACAATATTAGTCCAGGAGCACAGTAGATGAGAAATATTAATAGAGTATATATTACTTATATTGTCCTCAGAGCTCTGCAAGTTCTGATGGATGTCATCCTCATCACATGATGGGGACATTTCCAAGGAAGAGGATTTTATCATTCATTAAGAGAGTAATTACTGAACACCTGCTATGTGCATAGGACTTGCTCAGAATGGTGGAAGAGAAAGAAAGGCAACAGATGAACTTCCCAGAGTTGAGTATTAAAGGATGGCCACAGGGTCCTCACCGAGGATGACGGGACTTTGATCTGAGAGTAAGCGGGCAGAGCAGAGTGTAAGGAGTTTTTTGTTGTTGTTGTTGTTGTTTGTTTGTTTTTGATGGAGCCTCATTTTGTTACTCAGGCTGGAGTGCAATGGAGCGACCTCAGCTCACTGTAACCTCTGCCTATTGGGTTCAAGTGATTCTCCTGCCTCAGCCTCCCAAGAACTTGGGATTACAGGCACCCACCACTACGCTCAGCTGATTTTTTTTGAGCCGGAGTTTCACTCTTGTTTACCCAGGCTGGAGTGCAATGGCGTGATCTCGGCTCACTGCAGCCTCTGCCTCCTGGGTTCAGGCAATTCTCCTGCCTCAGCCTCCTGAGCAACTGGGATTACAGGCACGCATCACCGTGCCCAGCTAATTTTTTGTATTTGTAGTAGAGATGGGGTTTCACCATGTTGACCAGGATGGTCTCGATCTCTTGACCTCGTGATCCACCCGCCTCGGCCTCCCAAAGTGCTGGAATTACAGGTGTGAGCCACCGCGCCCGGCCTGATTTTTTTATATTTTTAGTAGAGACAGGGTTTTACCATGTTGGCGAGGCTGGTCTTGAACTCTTGACCTCAAATGATTCACCCACTTTGGCCTCCCAAAGTGCTGAAATTACAGACATGAGCCACCATGCCGGCCAATGTAAGAAGTTTTGTCTTAGATGTTGTACACTTACCCCCTTCTACCACCACCCTATACTTGGCAATGGAAGGGTTTGCCCCCTTCTCTGTGTCTTCCATGGGGGATTAGTGTAATAGCTCTCCTTCTTTGAAATATTGGGGGTGGAAAAGTCTAGCTTCATGGGAAATGGTCCTGTGGCTTAGTTGATTCACATGAAATGCTCCCATTGGTACCATCCGAGGCTACATTAATAGAAGTAGAGCATCGCATGAAGAGAAGAGAGAGGGCAATTCCTGAGCTCAGTCCTGGTTGACCTCACTTGGGAGGTTGGGTTGAGCTCTGGCATGATGATGTACCATGTATCTACTAGGGCACAACAGGGGACTGTGGCATGTTTGATGACAGGCATGGAAACTTATTAATCTTACAAGAAATAGGTAACAGCTGAGGAAAAGAACACTTATCAAAAACAGGATGGGTATCTTGCAATGCCTTGTCAAGGCTGACCCATGAAAGAGGGACTAGTCTTATTCTGTGTAGCACTAGGGGCCAATATGACTAGTGGGCAGAAGTTACAGAGCCACACCTTCTATCTCAGTCATGTTGGCATCTGGATCAAGGCTCATATTCTTCCCCATGTCAAGATTGGGAGGGAGAGGGGCCGTCAACGGATAAAAACTCTTTTTTAGTCCTAGAATTCTAAGCTTTTACTGATCTCTCAGGAAAGTGTGGAAATTGCTAACCAGACAAAGGCAACACATAAATTTATTTATTTATTTATTTGAGATGGAGTCTCTCTCTCTCACCTAGACTGGAGAGCAGTGATGTGGTCTCAGCTAACTGCAACCTCCACCTCCCAGTTTCCAGTGATTCTCCTGCCTCAGCCTCCTAAGTAACTGGGACTACAGGCATGTGCCATCATGCCCAGCTAATTTTTTATTAGTAGTAGAGATGGGGTTTTACCATGTTGGCCAGGTTGGTCTTGAACTCCTGACCTCAGGTGATCCACCCGCCTTGGCCTCCCAAATTGCTGGGATTACAGGCATGAGCCACTGCGCCTGGCCATAAATTTATTTTTTAAATGCATGTAGAGTTAAAAATATTCCTTTGTTAGAGTAGCAATCATTGGTAGAAGTATTTTGCCTCTTAACAAAAAAGTGTTTGACAGTCTACACCTGACTTTATGTAGTCAACGTTACAGGTACTTCCAAAAGCCTAAAATTAACAACTCCCAAAACCAAGGAAATAGCATGGAACTCCACTGTTTCCGGTTTCTCAGTCAATGCACCAGGGAGCACCTCAGGGATTCTCGGTAAGACCTTCTACCCCAAAAAAGAGGTTCAGAACAAATAAGCCAGAAAAGACAAGGGCAAAAGAAAAGATATCCCCTCTTCACCACCTGGGCTCAAGTGAGGGACTTCACTGAAGATGCAGCCATGAAGCCATCTTTGTTAGAATAAGGATCTATCAAGCTGAATGATGAAAACAATATACATTAAAAAAAGAATTAGAATAAGGTTCTAATCCACATACAATTAGTGATTTGGGTAAAGGGGGATTAGGAGAAAATGAAGCCAGTGAAGGAGAGGAATTGTGATCTGGAAATTTCTGCCTTATTTACTCATGTAACAAACATGTATAAAATGCCTGCTCTGAAACATACTATGTAGTAGGACTAGGGATATTTCAACAGAAAACCCAGCCTCCACACCAAGAGCTTCTAGTTCAGTAGGGAATGCTGACATCCACACCCAGGTGCTATGGGAGGTTGACAAAAACGGGGAGGGGAGAGGGGCAGTGGTGACTCCTCACATTCTAAGGAAACAGATTCTCTACTCATATCAGAAACAGCTGCTTGACCTAGCCACTGATGGAAGCAATGAGTCTGATGATGTCTTCAAGTATGCTCTTACCTCCACAGTGATGAAAACTTCCTCCAAGTGATTTGCAAAGTTTTCCATATCAATTATCTGTTTTTCCAATTTGTACATGTTTTTGTGAATTTCATCCTATTCAACAGAGGATCACAAAGAATATATTAATGTTACGTCTTGTCTCGCTCTTGTAGAGGGCATCTTAGATGTATTCCCTGCAAATGTACTTAAGATACAAATGAAATATCAAGACAGAGAAGAACCAAGGAGACCTATTTACCTTGGCACTTTCCAGTGCTTCATTGAGTGGGATCACTTCATGCTCCTTATGTTCATCAAAAACCTTCTGAAAAGCTCTTATTGGAGTTTTACAAGTGACACAGAAGACATCAGCAGCTTCTTCTTCATCTTCTTCCTCGGGAATGACATAGCATTCATACTCCTCGCTGGCACGGCCATGTGTGTACCTATAGACTTCCCGCAAGTCCTGGCACTGGCCTGCCGAACCCCACCCTCCGAAGCCCAGGTCCTCGGCCTCCGTTGCCTCTCCACTAAGTCTCCAGTCTCTCTGCTCCCTGGCTGGGTCTCTCCTCTTCATCCCATAAGGAGGATATTCCGAAACTCCCATTCTGGGCATGTTTTCAACAAACTCATCCCCTAATTCGTGATCATCTTCAAGTCCATATAAGTGGACAAGTTCCTCCACTTCCTCTTGAAGGTCTCTTTGAGCCTTACCATCCCCTGCTCCTGTTGACTCATTGGCCCTTTCAGCTTGGACTACTTCTTTCCTCCTCCTAGTGTTCTCTTCTGGAAAGAGCTGCAGTCTGTCTTCAGAGTCATACAGGTCCATGTGGTAAAAGTGGAAATCCTTGGGAGTAGACCTGTCCAACCCCAGTTCCTCCCCCGATTCTTCCTCCATTGTAACTCTGGAAGTCCTCAGAAGCACCTTTATACAAGAAAGATCCTTCCTGGACACTTAATAGTGAATATCTGGGCCCTGGAACACAAAAAAGAGGAGGAAAATCAGTTCTGGAGAAGGGCATTGCTGTAGATGATCATTAGATTGGGCTCTACTCAGAACATTTAAAAAAATTATCTGTGTAGCTCAGTCGTGTTTTCACTTTGAATCATCTGTTAAAAAAGTTTGTTTTCTGAGGACTACCAGACACCAAAGGAAGAAGAAATTGTCTAGATGAATAACATGAGATTATATTATTGAGAATCCCACTTTTGGTGCTTTCAAGTCAAGAAAGTAAATCTTTTTTTTTAAGATCATTGTGATCTTTCACCTTAAATATCCTGTGTTTTATTGCTCAGAACACCTAGTTTTTATAATATTCATGATGTCAGAAGGGAAACCTTCTGACAGAAAAAAGCCTCCTAGAAGCTTATCAATCAGCAAGAATAAGAAAAAAAGCATCTAATTCTATTATTTCATGTTTTAACAATGCACCACCTGCCAAACTTGCCTGCCCCGTTTGCAGTAAAATGGTGCCTAGATATGACTTAAATCAGCACCTTGATGAAATGTGTGCTGACAATGATGTCGTTCAAGTTGATCCAGGGCAAGTTGGCATAATAAATTCTAATGTGTCTACGGTAGATTTAACCAGTGTTGCTTTAGAAGATGTAATGCCAGAGAAGTCACCACCACCAAAGACAAATTTAACTGCTGGCCAAAGTGATTCAGCAAAAATGGCCATAAAACAGAAGTCCAGTCCCTACTTTAAAAGTAATGATGACTTGGTGTGCAAAAATCAAGATGAACTGAGAAATCATAGTGTGAAAGTCATTTCTTTGGGAAGCCTAGCATCTAAATTGTCCAGAAAATACATAAGGGCTAAAAAATCAATAGATAAGGATGAAGAATTTGCCGGTTGTAGTCCACGGAGTTCCAAATCCACGGTCATTCAGAGCCTGGTTGATAACTCTTCAGAAATTGAGGACAAGGATCAAATTTTGGAGAATAGTTCTCAAAAAGAAAACATGTTTATATGTGATTCTCTAAAGGAAGAGTGTATTCCCGAACACATGGTAAGAGGAAATAAAATAATGGAAGCCAAAAGCCAAAAGGCTACCCAGGAATGTGAGAAATCAGCCCTTACCCCTGGCTTCTCAGATAATGCTCTCATGTTATTTTCACCAGATTTCACTCTTGGGAATACATTAAAGTCTACTTCAGACGACAGTCTTGTAAAGCAAGAGTGTATCACAGGAGTGGTTGGACAACGTGAAGCATGTAGTTGTGAAGAAGTAAAAATGACTGTTGCCTCAGAAGCTAAAATACAGCTGTCAGATTCAGAGGCAAAATCTCAGAGTTCTGCAGATGATGTTTCTGCATGGAGTAACATCCAAGAGGCTCCTCGGCAGGGTGACAGTGGCTTAAACAGTGATATCTATCACAGCATTCCTTTGGAGCAGGGGTCAAGCTGCGATGGTCCTGATCAAACAACCAGTCATCCTTACTACCTTCGGAGTTTCCTTTTGGTGCTGAAAACCATACTTGAGAATGAAGATGATACGATGCTCTTTGATGAGCAGGAGAAGGGAATTATAACTAAATTTTATCAGTTATCAGCTACTGGTCAGAAGTTATATGTAAGGCTCTTTCAACGTAAATTAAGCTGGATTAAGATGACTAAATTAGAATACGAAGAGATTGCCTCAGGCTTGACACCTGTGATTGAAGAATTGAAGCATGCAGGCTTTCTACAGACAGAATCTCAGTTGCAAGAACTCTCTGAAGTGCTTGAACTCCTTTCTGCTCCTGAACTAAAATTCATGGCCAAGGCCTTCCATTTGGTGAATCCCAATGGACAGAAACAGCAGCTGGTGGACAGCTTTCTCAAATTGGCCAAACAACGTTCAGTCTGCACTTGGGGCAAGAATATGCCTGGAATTGGTGCAGTGATTTTAAAAAGAGCTAAAGCCTTGGCTGGACAGTCAGTACGAATCTGTAAAGGCCCCAGGGCTGTGTTTTCCTGGATCATGCTGCTGTTTTCATTGACCAACTCGATGGAAGATGAAGATGCCACTTGTGGAGGTCAGGGACAGCTTTCAACGGTCCTGTTGGTCAACCTCAGCCGAATGGAGTTTCCTAGATCGGAAAACCCAATCAATTGGAAAACCCAAATCTTCCAAGACAGAGATGATCTTATTAGATACGCAGCAGCTGTGCACATGCTGAGTGACATTTCTTCTGCAATGGCCAACAGGAACTGGGAAGAAGCTAAGGAGCTCGCTCAGTGTTTAAAAAGGGATTGGAACAGACTGAAAAACCACCCTTCTCTGAGATGGCATGCAGATTTACCACTCTTTCTGTGGTGTTTTACCGTTGGATGGATTTATACAAATATTTTGTCTCGGTCTGTGGAAATACTGCAGAGACTTCACATGTATGAGGAAGCCATCGGGGAACTTGAAAGCCTTTTGTCTCAGAGAATTTATTGTCCTGACAGCAGAGGCTGATGGTGGGATCGACTGGCTCTTAACGTACACCAGCACTTGAAGCGCCTGGAACTGGCTACCAAGTGTATCACAGAGGGGCTGGCAGATCTGGAAGTCAGTATGGGACACCGCCTTTCCCTGTATCAGCGAGCTGTGCGCCTGCAAGAGTCTCCGAGCTGTAAAAAGTACAAACATCTCTTGCAGCAGCTCACGGAAATGGCTGTCCAAGATGTGAAACACGTGACCATCACAGGCAGGCTGTGCTCGCAGCGTGGGATGGGCAAGTCCATGTTTATGATGGAGGCCGGGGAGACTGCTGCCCCCACCACAGTCCTATGCTCCATGGAGGAGCTGGCACTGGCCCATTACAAATGCAACAGCTTTGACAAGGGGATTCATGGTGAAGGCTCTACCTTCAGCACCCTGTATGGCCTCCTCCTGTGGGACATCATCTTCATGGATGGGATTCAGGATGTCTTCAGAAATGCCTGTCAGGCTTTCCCCCTGGACTTGTGCACAGACAGCTTCTTCACAAGCAGAGGCCCGGCTCTTGAAGCCAGGCTACAGCTGATTCACGATGCCCCCGTGGAGAGCCTGTGGGCCTGGGTGGCAGCCACGTGGCAGGACCAGAAAGGCAGAGTGGCTTCCCTTGTTAGCTGGGATTGCTTCACGTCTCTTGAGCAAGCTCAGGATCTCCTGCCTGGGGGACCCTGTGCTCAGTGGTATGTGCAGGCGCCTGGCTGCTGACTTTCGACACTGCCGTGGGGGCCTCCCTGACCTGGTGATGTGGAACACCCCGGGCCATCGCTGTAAGCTGGTGGAAGTTAAAGGCCCCAGTGATCACCTTTCACATAAGCAGATGATCTGGTTGGATGAACTGCAGAAGCTGGGGGCCGAAGTAGAAGTCTGCCATTTGGTTGCAGTTGGAGCAAAGAGCCAAAGCCTTAGCTAAAAGCTATGGAATTGGGGATATTTGGTCATACACTGATGTAAGATTTTTATATAAAACATCATGTTTTAATTTTTAAAAAAGTTTGTTTTCTATGGGGGGATGGGCTTTCTAAGGTTAAAAGAGACAAAAGCAATTACAAAAGAAATGTCTAATAGATACGACCAACAGATAACGTTATCTGACAGTGGACTAGATCCAGAATACATACAGAACTCTTAGAGCTCAATAATAAAAAGGTAAATAACCCAATTTAAAAATGGGCAAGATATGTAAATTACAAATATTTCTCTTCTATTTTGTGAAGTGTCCTTTTATTTTCTTGATGATGTCCCTTGAAGCACAAAAGGTTTTAATTTTGATGAAGTCTAGTTTATCTATTTTTCTGTTGTTGCTGCTGCTTGTGCTTTTGGTGTCATGTCTAATAATCCATTGCCAAATTTAAGATAAATCCCACTTGATCATAATGGTTAATATTTTTTCTTTTTTCTTGTTGTTTTTTAAGAGGCATTACAGGCATGAGCCACCACGTCTGGCCTAATTTTTTGTTATATGCTACTAGATTCTGTTTGCTAGCATTTTGCTGAGGAAGTTTGAATTCATATTCCTAACAGATACTGGTCTGCAGTTTTGGGGTTTTTTTCTTGTGGTATCTTTCTCTGGTTTTGGTATCAGGGTAATATGTCTCATAGAATGAGTTGGGAAGTGTTTCCTGTTCTTCTGTTTTTTTGGAAGAGTAAGTGAAGAATTGGAATTATTGCTTCTTTCACTGTTTGGTAGAATTCACCAGTGAAGCCACCTGGTCCTAGACTTTTCTTTGTGGGTGGTTTATTATTATTATTATTATTACTATTTTTTTTTTTTTTTTGAGACAAGTTCTCACTCTGTCACCCAGGTGCAGTGGTGTGATCTTGGCTCACTGCAACCTCCACCTCCCAGATCCTGCCTCAGCCTCCTGAGTAGCTAGGATTACAGGCACCTGCCACCACACTGGCTAATTTTTGTATTTTTAGTAAAGACGGGGTTTCACAGTGTTGGTCAGGCTGTTTTGTTTTTTTGTTTTACATCAAGAAATAACTTTATCCAAAAGGAATTCAAATGGAAGATATATTTAGCATCAATTCATATATTAGTAACTTATACGTGTATTGTCGAGTATGACATCCATAAAAGCACAAAACAGTTTCTTACATGTTCCACCAAAATTCTGGCTTACTTTATGTGTCACTTCCATGACTACCAACCACACATATAGAGACTAAGAGAGACTTGGCGAAGATGGCTTTCCAGGAAGTTTTCAAAATAAGAAAGGAAAGGTATGTTGAAATACAGCATAAGTAGCAGTGGGGCCCTGAATTCACTTTGGAAAGAGCTGGGTTTTTTTTGTTTTGTTTTGTTTTTTTGTTTTGAGATGGAGTTTTACTGTTGTTGCCCAGGCTGGAGTGCAGTGGCACAATCTTGGCTCACTGCAACCTCTGCCTCCTGGGTTTAAGCGATTGTCTTGCATCAGCCTCCTGAGTAGTTGGGATTACAGGCATGCACCACCACGACCGGCTAATTTTGCGTTTTTAGTAGAGACGGGGTTTCTCCATGTTGGTCAGGCGGGTCTCAAACTCCCAATCTCAGGTGATCCTCCCACCTTGGCCTCCCAAAAGGCTGGGATTACAGGTGTGAGCCACTGCACCCAGCAAGAGCTGGTTTTTAAATTATTCATCTCTTTACTTAGGCCTATTTATATTGCCTATTTCTTCTTGGGTCTGTTTTGGTACTTTGTGACTTGCTATGAAATGTCTATTTTATTTAAATTATCTAATTTATTCAAATACAGTTGTTCATGGTATTTCTTTTTAATCTTTTTTATTTCCACATGCTTCGTAGTAATGCGCCCTTTTTCATTTTTGATTCTAGTAATTTGATTCTTCTCTCATTTTTTTCTTGGTCAAACCTTTAACTAGAGGTTTGTCAATTTTGTTGATTACTTCAAATAATCTGTTTTTGGTTTCTTTAATTTTCTCTATTGTTTTTCTGTTCTCTAGTTCATTAATTTCCCCTCTAATATTTATTATTTCCTTTCTCTGCTTGTTTTGTTTAGTTTGCTCTTCTTTGTCCAGTTTCTTAATGTATTGATTTGACATCTTTCTTCCTGTTAAATATAGGCATTTATGGCTATAAATTTTCCTGTAATCACTGCTTTTGCTTCATCCCACAAGTTTTCATGTTTTATCTTCATGTCTATTCATGTCAAAATACTTTCAGACTTCCATTTTGATTTCTTCTTTGACCCATTGATTATTGAGGAGTGTGTTGTTTAATTTTCATATGTATATATATATATATATATATACATTTTTTTTTTTTTTTTGAGACGGAGTTTTGCTGTTGTTACCCAGACTGGAGTGCAATGGCACGATCTCGGCTCACTGCAGCCTCTGCCTCCTGGGTTCAAGCAATTCTCCTGCCTCAGCCTCCCGAGTAGCTGGGATTACAGGCGTGCACCACCATGCCCAGCTAATTTTTGTATTTTTAGTAGAGATGGGGTTTCACCTTGTTGACCAGGATGGTCTTGATCTCTTGACCTCGTGATCCACTCTCCTCCACCTCCCAAAGTGCTGGGATTATAGGTGTGAGCCACTGCGCCTGGCCTAATTTTCATATATTTGTGAGTTTTCCAACTTTCTTTTTGTTATTAATTTCTATTTGCATTCCACTGCAACCGGAAAACATTTTGTGTTATTTCTATCCTTTTAAATTTACTGAGGTTTGTTTTATGGGCTAGCATATAGTCTGTCTTAGAAAATGTTCCATAGGCATTTGGGAAGAATGTGTATATTCTGCTTATGCTATTGTTGGGTAGAATGTTCTATAGATGTCTGATAGACCCAGTTGGTTTACAGTATTATTCAAGTCTCCTATTTCCTTGTTGATCTTCTGCTTAGTTGTTCTATCCATTATTTAAAGCAGAGTGTTGAAGTCTTCAACTTTTATTGTTAGAGTTTTCATTTCTACCTTCGTGTTCGTTTTTGTTTGGCATATTTTGGTGTTCTGTAGTTAGGTGCATATGCATATGTACTTGCCGTATCTTCCTGACGGGTTGGCTCTTCTATAATGATAGCTTATCCCTCTTTAGTAACACTTTTTTGTTTTAAATCCATTTTTTTTTTGATGTCAGAACAGCCCCTCTAGCTTTCTTGTGGTTGCTGTTTACATGATTTATCTTCTTCTATCCTTTTAGTTTCAACCTATTTGTATTTTTTAATCTAACATGTATATCTTGTAGACAACATAGAGTTGGCTATATTGTTGTTAATTTTTTAATTGATTCATTATGACAAGCTTTCTAAGAATTTCTAAATTACAACATTTTGTTGGAGGACCTCAAGCTATGATGTCTTTTTTCCATATAACAAAATGGCATTTCCTATGAAATATAACACACCCCCAAAGAAAATCCTCCCCAGAACCTGATAATGAACATTCCAATTCTCAGCTTCCTAGTAGGATAATAAACCAGAGGTTAGAAGAAGATTGGTATCTACAAGTCTATGAGAACTAAATGTAGACATTTACGGCTATATCAGAGGAAGACAGTTCTCTCTAAAGGAGTATTAGGCTGGGTGCAGTGGCTCACACCTGTAATCCCAGCACTTTGGGAGGCTGAGGTGGGCAGATTACTTGAGCTCAGGAGTTTGAGACCAGCCTGGGCAATATGGTGAAACCCTGTCTTTAGCAAAAATACAAAAAAATTAGCTAGGTGTGGTGGTACACGCCTGAAATCCCAGCTACTTGGGAGGCTGAGGCAGGAGAGTCTCTTCAGCCCAGAAGATGGAGGTTGCAATGAACTCAGGTTGCACCCCTGTACTTCAGCCTGGGTGATGGAGCAAGACTCCATCTCAAAAAAAAAAAACATATTAGATGATAGGAGAGTTATGATAGAGTAATTAGAAAGAGAGCACTAAAGGATACTCTAAGGCTGAAAGATCCTAACACAGGATAAACTTGACAGGGAGTTCAAATGTCATAGAAGTTGTGACTGCAACCCACATCATGGCAAACAGAAATGTCCTGGCCAGAGCTGGTCCCCAGTAGCTGTATAAGCAAGAAAAACATATGGAAACATAGGTGAACCAAGGCTGGCTGGCAGGTGAGCTGAGAAAGTTGGCAGCATTGCTGTGTGTATAAGGCATATTAGGAGGACCAAGGGAAAGTGGTCACCAGACCTCATGAGAGACCCTGAGCCACAATCACCCAGATGAGCTGTTCTCAGCTGCTTGACCCTCAGAAACCATTCAAGAGAATAAATATTTGTTTTTTTAAGCTGCCAAGTTTTGAAATAATTTGTTATGTCACAATAGATGACTAATTCATTGTCTCAGACTAAAAACAAACTTTCTACCTAGCTTTCCCCCCAGGTGCTATTCTCTCTTTCTCCTCTTTTCATATCTAGACTCTGTCAAAGGGTGCCATTTCTTCCACCACACTTCAGGCTATGGCATCTGCACGTGAGGCTTTCCAAGGGATACACGGGCATAGATAGCTTCAGGAACATCAGCTTCCAGATGTTCAACCTCATATTTAATCTTTCCCAGAGCTTCTCTGCTTGGGAAGTAGCCAGCATTTAAAGCTTCATGCAGATTATTTTTTCACAATAGCCCTTCTTCTCTTTATTACAAAGTAAAACTATGCCTCTCACCCATCCTGAATATTTCATTGCACTGTAAGATTTCGCTGATTGAGAATTAAAAAAAACAAACAAACAAACCTCCAGGAGACTAAATAGGAGGACAATTTGAAGTATTGGTATCAATGGTAGAGCGTGAGTGACATTAATGAATGCGTAAGAAAAAAATTTTTTTCAAGCTGAGTGGTTTCCAGTTCTTTGTTTTCAATAAAATTGAAGGAGGATCTAATCAAATTGTCAGCTAATATATGATTAAAAATAATTTTTCATGATAGATCACTATGTACTTTTTGACACACATTTCAGAAAGCGTTCAAAAATGAGTGACATTGCTATAATAAAACACTTTCATTTCCATCAATGTTTGACTAAGAGGGGGAACAAGATTGCTCAGTGCTTTCATAAACCAAATGAAAAGCAGAAAGACAATTGACCCTAATTCCTGTTGCAGTCTAAAATATATTATTTCCATCAATGGACACACAACTTTTTTTAAAAAAGCTCTATCTACCTCATTAAGAAATGCATTTCCATTTTATTTTTCATTTAATAATTGTTTATGAAAATTTGTAATATATTTATGTTGTTTTGCTTACATGTGACTAAAAATTGTGTTGGT